CTACAGACGTCAGTGCTACGGGTCGGTAGTCATTTAGGCAGGTTATCTTAGAGTTCTTGGGCACGGGGACTATGGTGGTCTGCTTGAAACATGTTGGTATTACAGACTCAGTCAGGGACATGTTGAAAATGTCAGTGAAGACACTTGCCAGTTGGTCAGCACATGCTCGGAGTACACGTCCTGGTAATCCGTCTGGCCCTGCGGCCTTGTGAATGTTGACCTGCTTAAAAGTCTTACTCACATCGGCTACGGAGAGCGTGATCACATAGTCATCCGGAACAGCTGGTGCTCTCATGCATGCTTCAGTGTTGCTTGCCTCGAAGCGAGCATAGAAGTGGTTTAGCTCGTCTGGTAGGCTTGTGTCACTGGGCAGCTCGCGGCTGTGCTTCCCTTTGTAGTCTGTAATAGTTTTCAAGCCCTGCCACATCCGACGAGCGTCAGAGCCAGTGTAGTATGATTCAATCTTAGACCTGTATTGACTCTTTGCCTGTTTGATGGTTCGTCGGAGGTCATAGCGGGATTTCTTATAAGCGTCCGGGTTAGAGTCCCGTTCCTTGAAAGCGGCAGCTCTACCCTTTAGCTCAGTGCGGATGTTTCCTGTAATCCATGGCTTCTGGTTGGGGTATGTACGTACGGTCACTGTGGGGACGACATCATCGATGCACTTATTGATGAAGCCAGTGACTGATGTGGTGTACTCCTCAATGCTGTCTGAAGAATCCCGGAACATGTTCCAGTCTGTGCTAGCAAAACAGTCCTGTAGCTTAGCATCTGCGTCATCTGACCACTTTTTTATTAACCGAATCACTGGTGCTTCCTGCTTCAGTTTTTGCTTATAAGCAGGAATCAGGAGGATAGAGTTATGGTCAGATTTGCCAAATGGAGGGCGAGGGAGAGCTTTGTATGCGTCTCTGTGTGTGGAGTAAAGGTGGTCTAGAGTTTTTTTTCCCTCTGGTTGCACATTTAACATGCTGGTAGAAATTAGGTAGAACGGATTTAAGTTTCCCTGCATTAAAGTCCCCGGCCACTAGGAGCGCTGCATCTGGATGAGCGTTTTCCTGTTGATTAATGGCCTTGTACAACTCATTCAGAGCAATCTTAATGCCAGCATTGGTTTGTGGTGGTAAATAGACAGCTATGAAAAATATAGATGAAAACTCTCTTGGTAAATAGTGTGGTCTACAGCTTATCATAAGATACTCTACCTCAGGCGAGCAAAACCTTGAGACTTCCTTAGTATTTGATTTTGTGCACCAGCTGTTGTTTACAAATATACACAGTATTTGTAGGGTTCATTTGAGGTAAATGTGATTTTTCAGCCATTCCTGAGCCTGTGACCAGAAACAAGCTACATGTGTGGTCCTCTGTAGCTCAGCTGGTAGAGCACGGCGCTTGTAATGCCAAGGTAGTGGGTTCGATCCCCGGGACCACCCATACACAAAAAAAAATGTATGCACGCATGACTGTAAGTCGCTTTGGATAAAAGCGTCTGCTAAATGGCATATTAATTAATATTAATATGGGCAATACCAAAATGTGATCTAATGATTTGGTCTCTTCGCAGCCAAATCTGCAGAGCTGAGATGGTTGTATGCCCCATATACATAACATTCTGTTGGTGGCAAGAATTTTGCATAATAATTTAAATACCCAATGTTTTGAATCAAGCGTTGTTTTGTGTATTAGTTCATAAACCATGTGCCATGGAATCGGCACATCAAATCTCTTCCCAACCTGTATTGCACCGCTGTCAACATTTTGGTCCTCAAATGAAACTAAGGTTTCTTAATTGTTACCCAGAACTGATTTGATATTGATATAAAAACAGCTGCATTGGACCTTTAATAATGAATAAAGACTTCATAGTATTAAATTGTCCAGTGGTTTCATGGATAAATGTAAAGGCATTACTATTGAATGTCATGGGTTATTTGCAGGAACACTTAGAGAGCATTGATCTATTGCTTTCCTTCACTGCCAGTTATGCCAAGTTATGACATTGTTGTAATACACTGCTCAAAAAAATTAAGGGAACACTAAAATAACACATCCTAGATCTGAATGAATGAAATAATCTTATTAAATACTTTTTTCTTTACATAGTTGAATGTGCTGACAACAAAATCACACAAAAATTATCAATGTAAATCAAATTTATCAACCCATGGAGGTCTGGATTTGGAGTCACCCTCAAAATTAAAGTGGAAAACCACACTACAGGCTGATCCAACTTTGATGTAATGTCCTTAAAACAAGTCAAAATGAGGCTCAGTAGTGTCTGTGGCCTCCACGTGCCTGTATGACCTCCCTACAACGCCTGGGCATGCTCCTGATGAGGTGGCGGATGGTCTCCTGAGGGATCTCCTCCCAGACCTGGACTAAAGCATCCGCCAACTCCTGGACAGTCTGTGGTGCAATGTGGCGTTGGTGGATGGAGCGAGACATGATGTCCCAGATGTGCTCAATTGGATTCAGGTCTGGGGAATGGGCGGACCAGTCCATAGCATCAATGCCTTCCTCTTGCAGGAACTGCTGACACACTCCAGCCACATGAGGTCTAGCATTGTCTTGCATTAGGAGGAACCCAGGGCCAACCGCACCAGCATATGGTCTCACAAGGGGTCTGAGGATCTCATCTCGGTACCTAATGGCAGTCAGGCTACCTCTGGCGAGCACATGGAGGGCTGTGCGGCCCCCCAAAGAAATGCCACCTCACACCATGACTGACCCACCGCCAAACCGGTCATGCTGGAGGATGTTCTCCACGGCGTCTCCAGACTCTGTCACGTCTGTCACGTGCTCAGTGTGAACCTGCTTTCATCTGTGAAGAGCACAGGGCGCCATGGCGAATTTTCCAATCTTGGTGTTCTCTGGCAAATGCCAAACGTCCTGCACGGTGTTGGGCTGTAAGCACAACCCCCACCTGTGGACGTTGGGCCCTCATACCACCCTCATGGAGTCTGTTTCTGACCGTTTGAGCAGACACATGCACATTTGTGGCCTGCTGGAGGTCATTTTGCAGTGCTCCTCCTGCTCCTCCTTGCACAAAGGCAGAGGTAGCAGTCCTGCTGCTGGGTTGTTGCCCTCATACGGCCTCCTCCACGTCTCCTGATGTACTGGCCTGTCTCCTGGTAGCGCCTCAATGCTCTGGACACTACGCTGACAGACACAGCAAACCTTCTTGCCACAGCTCGCATTGATGTGCCATCCTGGATGAGCTGCACTATCTGAGCCACTTGTGTGGGTTGTAGACTCCGTCTCATGCTACCACTAGAGTGAAAGCACCACCAGCATTCAAAAGTGACCAAAACATCAGCCAGGAAGCATAGGAACTGAGAAGTGGTCTGTGGTCACCAACTGCAAAACCAGTCCTTTATTGAGGGTGTCTTGCTAATTGCCTATAATTTCCACCTGTTGTCTATTCCATTTGCACAACAGCATGTGAAATGTATTGTCAATCAGTGTTGCTTCCTAAGTGGACAGTTTGAGTTCACAGAAGTGTGATTGACTTGGAGTTACATTGTGTTGTGTAAGTGTTCCCTTTATTTTTTTGAGCAGTGTACAAATGCCACCTCATTCTCAGGGCGCTTGTCAACTATGAAATCCTCTCATAATACCTTAGAATGAATCATCTTAACACAGCAACTCAAAAGCCGTATTGTGATAAACAGAGTTGCCATTATAGGTGGTATGCAACATTAATTTCACTAGGCCAGTTTTCACATTCACTAAAATAATTAGAAGTGGGGGGGGTCAATGGAATGTCAATCGCTCAGAACGTTCAACAAGTGGATGCACTTGTTTCTGACACACACACACACACACACACAGCTGTATTCATTAAGTGTCTAGGTGATGTGTGCGTGCCTACAACCCACAGGCGAACCAAACCTCTGATATGTACAGTAAGTAGCATTCCGGGAACATTTCGACACACTCCCTTTTAGTGGAGGAAAAGGCAACAAAACAAAAGACAAATCAAATGGAACTCAATTAAAACTTCCTACAAAAGAAAACAAGAAAAAGAAACAAACAAAAATCAAGGAGAAATTAAATCAGACGGCGGAAAACCGGGATTTCTTTTTCTGCCTTCAAAAGAGGAAATGAATAATATACAAGGCAAACGGATGGAAGAAAAGGGGGTGGAGGAGAGAGAGAGTCGCCCCTCTTCTTGATGTTTGTGTGGGCTAGGGTTGTAGCGGCGTCAGGGACGGCCTCTGGTGACAGACAGGCCAAAATACAACAGCTTTCTTCTGGGTCTGATTAAAGCAAGGCAACTAAGGGTGGAGGGACAGAGGACAGACACGCACACTCAGAAGAAACACACAGGATGGACCGACATACTTGCACACATAGGACGGACACAAGCAATCACATAGCCCGGATCCGGGATGGGCTGGACAATGAGACCTGATGATTTATAGATATATAGTAGATCTAACTGCACTGTAAACAGTCTTATTACTCACACCAATCCAGACGACAGAGCGACTTTATGTATAGGAAAATGAAATACATTTATTGTCCTTTTTCTCCCCAGTTCATAAAACAAACATGATTGTACTGAATCGAAAACATTAAAAAACATGAAGTAAACCATAAAAACATGAAATTGCTGAGAGCAATTATATTTTTCTTTAGGGTTCAACACCTGCGGTCACATTCTCATTACGTTAGCGTTTTTAAGCAATGCTAAATCAAATAATGTCCATCAAAATCAGCCCCCAGGTAAAAGAATAGACAGTGGTTCTGCAGTCTCACAGTAAAAATGCCCTTGATTGACTAATAAGAGTACCACTTGAACTTTAACATTATCGCCCCTAAGTAACCAGCCCACTCAAACATTGTGCTCCCCAAACAATATATTCCCAAGGGAATTGATGGGTGCCAGTCTGTTTCTGCTCTCTTGCCAAATTCTTCTGGAATTTTCATGCGGTTTAGAATGACAAGGAGTGGCAAGGAGTTGGCAAGATGGCACAAACAGATCTGAGACCAGGCTAGTGAAATGAGTAAACTTTAATGACTGACCAGTGATAACAGAACTTATGGTAAACGTTCAGCAGGCTGCCAGGTGAGTTTGGTGAATTTGGGAGACCCTGCCCCCTGCTGGCGATGAATGGAACAGAACTGTCTGACTATCGGCTAATAATAAGAATAAGAATCCTACTACAACTTAACATGCTGATACAGCAAAGGAGAACCATGACACAAATAAAAACAAAGCAACAGAGATAATTTACATTATTCTAATATCAAAATGAACAGAAAAAAAAACTACTGGAATTGGCAGTGGACAGTAAACAGTATTGCACTTAGTTTATATTAACAAACGTTTAAACAATTCACAGTATGATTGGTCCAAGGCAGGACACCCAAAACTAGTAAGCGTCACTTTGCATTTAGGACGCTCCTCTTCAGGGGGGTAGAAACCCATGAAAAAGTGTTATTTTAAGTAAACAGAAATGCCATTATACGACCAATAACACAATATCAAAGATGACACAACCTCCCCTTTAAAAAAAAATATGTATGTTCAGGTATCTTATCATACATCGTTCATTAATTACAAGTGATGAGTTTAAAAACAAGTCATGGGTCATGTTCATTAGGCACCACATGGAAGAAAACTGACTGAAACGTTAACTTTGTTTTCTGTTGCAAAAAGCTTTCAAACGTAACCTAATGAACACAACCCTGTCCTGTCCCCTTCTCTTCCTCCCCTATATGAAGGTCAATGCATGTAGAATAGAGTGAGTAATCCCTCTACCCTAATTTTAAAACATCCTCCTCTCATTAACAAACACAACACCATTACAGACAGACAAGACATCTTAAATACATGGAAGTGGGATTCACAGGATGAGTGAGGCCCAAAAACAGTGGTCTAACATGACAGAGAGGGGAAGGCGGCAGCGAACGAGAGACAACTCAAATGCTCAACCCCAGAGCAGGAAAAGGAAATGTCAGTCAGTCACAACGTAATGTTCCAAAATAGCTTTACTGACTTTTACACGTGTGTCCAAAGAGTAAAGTAAATCAGTCCCACCTCAACCTCTCAAACCCACAGAGTTTCTCACAAGGCATTAGGACATCCAGGATGTGCTGTATGATGTCACAATGTCAACAAGAACCCTGATACAGATTAGATCCCTTTTTCAGTTCCAGAATCTTTCATTAGTTCCAGAACATATCGTTTTTGGCTCAGATTACTGTGCACAATGATTCCAATATAACCCCAGTATTGTAGTCTGAGACACAGTTTAAGTTGGTTCCCCAGGTCAACTTGTATCGATTGGTGATTAGTCAGTGAGCAGCACTTTACTGCACCATTGGCCAAACTGCACTTCTAATCCTCCACTTCTGTCTTTTCATTCTGGTGATCCAGACACCGATAGGCTGGAGGACTGAAGACAAGGTGACATTGTTCCAATGGGAATGCTCTTCAGGAGGCTTAGGTCCCGGTCGGGTGTTAGAGATGATGGTTGATTGGTCAAGGGAATGTCAGTCACTGGATCTTTGACAGGCCATTAGCCAGGAGGAGCTTGAGGGGGATGGTGGTGCGGGACACGGTCAGAGGCAGTTTGTGGAGACCTGCAGAGACATAAAACACATACGGTTAAAAAGTTATAACGACATGGCACATTTACCGCCGAAACACACGCACACACAGACAGAGTGAGACAAAGCAGGAGTGAAAGAGCAAGAGAGAAAGACAGTGAGTGAAGGAAAGATAGGGATAGCATGTGTGGGGGAGAAACATTAAAAAGGCAAGTTTGGGTGCAAATTAAGTCCATCAATCACAGAACAGAACAAAAGCAGTTGGGGTGGTAGCGGGAAAGGAGAGGAGAGATGCTGTCTACGTTGTGAGTAAGTGGGGTGCGTGTGTCCATGGCTCTACACTCCGAACTGTTGTTTTTGTTGGGCAGAGGGGCAAAGCGTGTGTGTGTGTGTGTGTGTGGCTCCGGAGTGTGTGTGTGTGTGAGGCAGGGGGCCCAGCGGCCAGGCCCCTAGGGGACTCCTACTCCCCTCTCACTTTCCTGAGAGAATTGTATAGGCCTTTCTATCTGAGGAAAGGAGACCAGCCCATTGGGAAACATGGCCAGGCCCAGAGCTGGGAAGAGAACACCTTGCTAGCTAGTTCACAGTAGAGTCACTCTGAAAACACCCTGACCATTGGCAGTTAGCACAGCCCTTCTGCTGCATAATGAAAGTAACACAATATGACTATTCAAATACCCAAGTAAGTAATATACATATTCAATAGCTGATTAGGGGATTCGCCTGCAGCCAAGGTAACTGGACAAATCATGTAAGGTTGTATTTGGAGTGGAACATCCCTTTAAATTGAAAGATGTTAAGTTACATAAAAGCCTTATTATTTTGAAAAAAACATAAACAAACCAACATATAGAAAGGCAGGTAACAGGTCCATAGACATATCTTACTGTCAAGCACTGTTTAATGTATAAAGGGGCTTTAGCAATACATTTGATGGATTGACTGATGCAAGTACCAAAGTTCCCATAGGGCGGCGCACAATTGGCCCAGCATCGTCCGGGTTTGGCCGGGGTAGGCCGTCATTGTAAATAAGAATTTGTTCTTAACTGACTTGCCTAGTTAAATAAAGGTAACATAAAATAAAATAGTACCAAAGGCGCGTATGAGTTCTCTCTGCACAGTCCAGGTGAGAGTGTTGATGAGGCAGGCAGAGGTGAGGCCAGCGAACAGAATGTTGTACAGGAACACTATGTGGAAGTTCCCCAGCCAGTTATACCTCCCAAAGTCTCCCAGAAGGTCAAACCGTGTGATTCCTGAAGAGCAGATAGAATATGTGATTAGGTTTGACGGTCTATAAACTGCTTTACTCCTCATATCTTCATTTCCCCCCAATGGATCGATAACGTTCAGATCCTCTGACTGGCAAGGGTGTATTTGTGAAGTGCAGTACTTGAACATGGTCAAGGTCACACAGTGTTCATAGTGATTGACTGTATTCACACGCCCTCTTCTGGTCAGAAATTATAATACAACCTGAAGCCCTGTCTAATAACAGTAAGCAATGCATCGCTTTTTGTTCAACCATATGAGACAAGAATATAGAAACTCAACCAGGGGAACAGGGAGAGCTCTTACCCAGAGTTCGGGAGAAGACGGGCAGTGCTGAGCTGAGGACCAGGAGAGATACACAGTTCCCAATGATCTGTGTGAGGTTGGTGTCCTGAGTGCGGGGCAGTAGGGAAGTGAAGAGAGGAGAGCTGTAGAAGCCCACCACAGACGACACCATCAGATAGAGGATGAGGACCACCTGCACTGCTGCTCCCAGAGAACCAAACATGGAGAAGGAAGCTGTCCCCAGACGAGGGTCCTACCACGCACAGGAAACACACGGTCATTGCCAATCGGTTGTAAAATGTTCCCACCCTCCCTGCTCCGCATGTTTCTTGTGCCCTTGTATTTGTGTAGTCTTGAAAGTCAATAACATATATGGTCCTCAGTCACTTCATATAGGACAGAACAGGCTATTCAGAAGCAACATTACAGAGGCAATATACACTACTGTTCAAAAGTTTGGGGTCACTTAGAAATGTCCTTGTTTTCGAAAGAAAAGCAATTTTTTTGTCCATTAAAATAAGATCAAATTGATCAGAAATACAGTGTAGACATTGTTAATGTTGTAAATGGCAATTGTAGCTGGAAACGGCTGATTTTTAATGGAATATCTACATAGGCGTACAGAGGCCCATTATCAGCAACCATCAGTCCTGTGTTCTAATGGCACGTTGTGTTTGCAAATCCAAGTTTATCATTTTAAAAGGCTAATTGATCATTAGAAAACCCTTTTGCAATTATGTTAGCACAGCTGAAAACTGTTGTGCTGATTAAAGAAGCAATAAAACTGGCCTTCTTGAGACTGGTTGAGTATCTGTAGCATCAGCAATTGTGGGTTCGATTACAGGCTCAAAATGGCCATAAACAAATAACTTTCTTCTGAAACCCGTCAGTCTATTCTTGTTCTGAGAAATGAAGGCCATTCCATGCGAGAAATTGCCAAGAAACTGAAGATCTCGTACAACGCTGTGTACTACTCCCTTCACAGAACAGCGCAAACTGGCTCTAACCAGAATAGAAAGAGGAGTGGGAGGCCCTGGTGCACAACTGAGCAAGAGGACAAATACATTAGTGTCTAGTTTGATAAACAGACGCCTCACAGGTCCTCAACTGGCAGCTTAATTAAATAGTACCCGCAAAACACCAGTCTCAACGTCAACAGTGAAGAGGCGACTACGGGATGCTGACCTTCTAGGCAGAGTTGCAAAGAAAAAGCCATAGCTCAGACTGGCCAATAAAAATAAAAGATTAAAATGGGCAAAAGAACACAGACACTGGACTTCTTTGCAACTCTGCCTAGAAGGTCAGCATCCCGGAGTCGCCTCTTCACTGTTGACGTTGAGACTGGTGTTTTGCGGGTACTATTTAATGAAGATGCCAGTTGAGGACCTATGAGGCGTCTGTTTATCAAACTAGACACTAATGCATGTGTCCTCTTGCTCAGTTGTGCACCAGGGCCTCCCACTCCTCTTTCTATTCTGGTTAGAGCCAGTTTAAGCTGTTCTGTGAAGGGAGTAGTACACAGCGTTGTACGAGATCTTCATTTTCTTGGCAATTTCTCGCATGGAATAGCCTTCCGTTCTCAGAACAAGAATAGACTGACGAGTTTCAGAAGAAAGTTCTTTGTTTCTGGCCATTTTGATTCTGTAATCGAACCCACAATTTCTGATGCTCCAGATACTCAACTAGTCTCAAGAAGGCCAGTTTTATTGCTTCTTTAAATCAGCACAGCAGTTTTCAGCTGTACTAACATAATTGCAAAAGGGTTTTCTAATGATCAATTAGCCTTTTAAAATGATCAACTTGGATTAGCAAACACAATGTGCCATTGGAACACAGGACTGATGTTTGCTATAAATGTACGCCTATGTAGATATTCAAAAAAAATATCTGCCGTTTCCAGCTACAATAGCCATTTACAACATTAACAATGTCTACACTGTTTTCTGATCAATTTGATGTTATTTTAAATGGACAAAAAAATTGCTTTTCTTTTGAAAACAAGGAAATTTCTAAGTGACCCCAAACTTTTGAACGGTAGTGTACATCGTTAGAATTCAACATACACTACATAACCAAAAGTATTAGGACACCTGCTCATCGAACATCTCATTCCAAAATCATGGGCATTAATATGGAGTTGGTCCCCCCTTTGTTGCTATAACAGCCTCCACTCTTCTAGGAAGGCTTTCCACTAGATGTTGGAACATTGCTGCTGGGACTTGCTTCCATTCAGCCACAAGAGCATTAGTGAGGTCGGGCACTGATGTTGGCCGATCAGGCCTGGCACGCAGTCGGCATTCCATTTCATCCCAAAGGTGTTCGATGGGGTTGTCAGGGCTCTGCGCAGGCCAGTCAAGTTCTTCCACACTGATCTCGACAAACCATTTCTGTTGCCACAAAGTTGGAAGCACATAATCGTCTAGAATGGCAACGCATGCTGTAGCGTTAAGATTTCCCTTCACTGGAAATAAGGGGCCTAGCCCGAACCATGAAAAACAGCCACAGACCATTATTCCTCCTCCACCAAACTTTACAGTTGGCACTATGCAGTCGGGCAGGTAGCGTTCTCCTGTTATCCGCCATACCCAGATTCGTCCGTCGGACTGCCAGATGGTGAAGAATGATTCATCACTCCAGAGAACGCGTTTCCACTGCTCCAAAGTCCAATGGTGGCGAGTTTTACACCAGTGCAGCCGACGCTTGGCATTGCGCATGGTGATCTTAGGCTTGTGTGCAGCTGCTCGGCCATGGAACCCATTTCATGAAGCTCCCGACTAACAGTTCTTGTGCTGACGTTGCTTCCAGAGGCAGTTTGGAACTCGGTAGTGAGTGTTGCAACCGAGGACAGAACATTATTACGCGCTGCACGCTTCAGCACTTACAGTTGACTGGGCAGCTCTAGCAGGGCAGAAATTTGACGAACTGACTTGTTGGAAAGGTGGCATCCTATGACAGTGCCACGTTGAAAGCCACTGAGCTCTTCAGTAAGGACATTCTACTGCCTATGTTTGTCTATGAAGATTACATGGCTGTACAACGGTCAGCAACGGGTCTGGCTGAAATAGCCAAATCCACTCATTTGAAGGAATCACCCATACGTATGAAAAAAATCATTAATCGAGATATGATTTCTAGGTCATATCGCCCAGCCCTCCTAGAAGACTTACAGCACGAGATCTAGAATTGATGCTATAAAAGCTAATAATCCCTGCTAGCCCTTAGTAGTCCTCACCTCCATTCCTCTGGGCATGGCCGTCTCGTCCAAGAGGAGCTCCAGAACGTGGAAACACACCATCAACACACACACCACCGTTAGAACTAGGAGCAGGAGCATGGCCAGAGGGTAGAACAGGTTCCGCTGCCATGGTGACGCTCTCCTACGCATCTCTGGGAGGGAGGGAGGGAGAGAGAGAGATGAGGCGAGCTGAGGACCATTGTAGACAATGCGGCCTGTCTCCCGGTGAGCAGTTAAGCTATTCCTGGATTTTTTTTCTCCTAATGCCTGAATGAGATCAAACAATGTTGGACTTTTACAATAATCTTCCAATGAATATTATCCAACCCTAGTATCCCCAGAGTGACCCCTGTATGCTGCAGCCCTAAGTCAGTCCATACCTACAGAATGTAATAAAACACAGTAGTATTATATATATATACACACACACACATCTTGATGGTCTTACCGAGGGCGATGCGTTTGGCCTGGACTCGGAGGAACTGCATCCTCAAAGGCTCCACGTTTACAGTGATCCTGCATGACGTGCTACCCCCTACAAGGAACAGAGCAAGGTCAACACAAACAACAACACCTCTAGGATGTAATAGCATGGTATAGTGTGAGCATCCTGTGTGTGTACTCTAGACCACGGTGGCCAACTCACTGTTGAGTTTCCTGGACAGCGAAGCCTCCTCGAACGCAGCACAGTTCATCTCCACCTCCACATTCTCCAATAGCTGAAGAAACACAGGGGATGGATGTCATTAAGTTATTATAGTGTTATGTTATTGTCAATGTTATAGCGTTAGGTTATAACAATGTTATAGTGTTTTGTTATTGTCTGTATATGGAGGTACAGTATGTGGATTGTCACTCACCCGTGGTTTGACCAGTAGGCTCCCAGTGACACTGAACATGCGGGACAGCCCGAAGGGAGTGCACACTGCAGGGAGACAGGAAGTGGTGGGGCGGCAGGTAGTCTAGTGGTTAAGAGCGTTAGGCTAGTAACCGAATGGTCGCTGGTTCGTATCCCCGAGCCAACTAGGTACAAAAATCTGTCGATGTGCCCTTGAGCAAGGCCCTTAACCCTAATCGCTCCTGTAAGTCGCTATGGATAAGAGTGTCTGCTAAAATTACTCAAATATAATATAAAAAATATACACATGAATATCTGGCCATGACCAACTGATCACAAGTTAGACAGCTACTTACGTAGGAGCAGGAGCACTCCAAACAGAGAAATGGCAGAGTAGAGGTACGGAAGGTAACACTCCCACATGTCTGAGATGGGAGACAAAAGGTCACCAGAGAAAGGATTTGATATATGGTTCTCAAAAATAAAGGACAGCAATTCTTCAAAATACCCATCTTCAAAGAGGGCCTTTGCGAACAGTTGCAAAATGGCTTATATGAATAGCAAACTCAAAGATCAACTCACCGTAGAGGCTCTCCCTGGCCGTGTTGTTAAGCAGGGCCGCAAACACCCACACCATGCCAAGCACCAGCAGAGTGAGCAGCAGCAGCACCACCGCCGTCTCATACACCCGCGCCATCACCCCCTTCTTACAGCCCACAAAGCCCTCCGACTCGGTGAAGAAGTAGGCGAAGGGCATGAGGAAGATCAGGGACAGGTTGGACAACAGGAACACTAGGTTCCATAAGCCTGATGAAAAGAAAGACAAGAGACCTGGTCATAACATGACATCTGATTAGAATGTTATGAAACACTATCAAATAGATATAACAATCTATTACCACATATTAGTAACAGGTCCAAAGGTGCACTACGTTTGACTGTTAACACTACCACATTCAGCCACAGTGAGGCGCAGCCTAGCTGTCTAGGATCAAACTTTTGGGAGGCATACAGTCCAGTCCACTCTAACATCCGTAGAGATCTATGGCAATAAGCTACAGGGTTCAGTGAGGTAGAGAAACTAGAGTTAACAGTGCTCCTTGTTATTGACACCCAGAGCTAACGTGTTGGGCCCACTTCCGTTTGACTTCAGGTTGGTGGAGCTCACGTTTTATTACTGTGAAAGGATAACATGACTCACCTTTTCCTTAGCCATAAAACCAAAGGCAACTATGCAAGGGTCTCTGAGGCTATGGAAGTACTGAGTGAATGTGTTGTTATGGTGTAGACATTAAGTGCTGTGGTATAGACAAGGTACAGTACCGTGGATGAGTGATCCATTGAGCCACTGCATGTAGTAGCTGTGAGGGAAGGTGAGCAGCACCTCATTGGACAGGATGGAGATGGGGAGAAGCAGCACGGCACACACTGCCACGGAGAGGGTGAACGTACACAGCCACAGCCTGGAGGGGGAGAGAGAGTTTGAGTGACTGTGTATAAAGGAATTTTCATGGAAATGGACAATTAAAGTATTTTGGTATGTGCGTGTGTGTTTGGATCCTGTAGTTGATCCGTGGTAGGGGAAGTGGACAGCATAATGCCAACTGGTATGACAAAGGGTAGGAAGGATATTACAGACTGATAAAACTACACTACAGCCAAGTGGTCGTGTCATCTCATTTGGTCACATTGACTCAGATACTAGCTCAAACGCTCTGCTCACACTGACACTTTGATCCCAGTGAGTGAGAGTGACTGAGTCAACGTGTGGCAGACTGCTACTAGGTCAGTTTGTTCATTTGCGCGCTCTTTACTTACGCAATTTTGTTGACGGTCGCATCTTCAATGTCATCTGAAAAATGGCAAAAACATATACAAGTGAGTGATTCACAGTTATACCAAAATGCCAGTAAGTCAACCTAGTATTGACTAAAGGAATGTGAGCATCTTGGCAACTGAAGGAAACCTTGAAAACAGAAGCCTCCAAACCAAATACCCAGACGGATAAGAGAAGTGAAATGGTAGGAATGTTGATGGAGCCTGGAGGTAGAGGAGAGGAAGAGGAGAGGAGAAGAAGAGGTAAAGAGAGGTAGAGTTTTTGGACGAGGGATATTCTAAAAACAGAGCGATATCGGTAAGACACTACGATAGCACCGATCGAAACGGACGGAGTGGAAATAAGGAGTTGGCCTCAGCAACGGAGATATGCAGAATACACCATGTTCAAGAGGTCCAAAGAACAAGCATCTCTGGTATGCCTGTATGGGTCAAGAAGAGGAAGAGAAGAGTTTGGAAGAACACGGTCTGAGAGTAAGAGAAACCAGTTAGTAGCATCCCAATCGATTCACAGACCCCATCTTCAACACCCCGCTATTCAATTAAGCTGCGAGGCACAAATGTTCTGCTGGTGGTGTTGACTGCAGGCCGAGGACATTCATTGTATTCAAAAACACTGTATTGCTAATGCAGAGCAGGTTTAGCCGACTGCCTTTCCAAAACCCCAATAACACACTGGCTGGGTTGAGTGGGCTGGTCCGCCTCCAAACAACCAACCCTCTGCCAGAAGGATCCAGATCCAGGCCAGGCTTGTTACGTTGGAGCTGAGCTGCTACAGCTGTTTTCTATAACCACACCTTATTGGAGTGATTACATAAAACACTTTTTTTTATTTTACCTTTATTTAACTAGGCAAGTTCGTTAAGAACAAATTCTTATTTACAATGACGGACGACGCTGGGCCAATTGTGCGCCGCCCTATGGGACTCCCAATCACGGCCGGTTGTGATACAGCCTGGAATCAAACCAGCGGGTCTGTAGTGACGCCTCAAGCACTGAGATGCAGTGCCTTAGACCGCTGCGCCACTCGGGGGCCCACATAACCAATTGCATTTGCACATCCACACTTTTTGTGTTCACTTGAGAGCACATACTGTACATTCAATTATAAAATGGTCATACTTGGAAAGGACAGGGTACGTGTTTATCTTAAAAGGAACATTGCTCCCACCCCTCACCCAGCTGACGACACACAAGCCTGAGGTGTTTCCATAACAACCTCCTGCAGCAGTATAGGACCCTGTGTGTTCTGTTTTCTGGCCAAGTTCCACAGCTGTAGGCTTGGATAGATAGCTGCTACACCTCCACATGTACAGGTTGGTAGGTAAATGTGCAAAACAAACATTAACGTAGTAGTGGGGGGGGGGGGGGAATCTATACAGTCACATGTTGAGAATTGTTTTATTTTATTTCTTTACCCCCTTTTATCACCAATTTCGTGATATCCAATTGGTAGTTACAGTCTTTTCCCATCACTGCAACTCCCGTACGTACTCGGGAGAGGTGAAGGTCGAGAGCCATTCGTCCTCCGAAACACAACCCTGCCAAGCCGCACTGCTTCTTGACACACTGCTCACTTAACCCGGAAGTCAGCCGCACCAAGGTGTCAGAGGAAACACCATACAACTGGCGACCGTGTCAGCGTGCATGCACCCGGCCCGCCACAGGAGTCGCTAGAGCGCGATGGGACAAGGACATCCCGGCCGGCCAAACCCTCCTCTAACCCGGACGACTCTGGGCCAATTGTACGTCGCATCCCAGTCGTGGCCGGCTGCAACAAAGCCCGGGATCGAACCCAGATCTGTAGTGACGCCTCAAGCACTGCAGTGCCTTAGACCGCTGTGTCACTTTTGACAATATATCGTATCGTTTTCACAATATCACAATATTATTTTTGTGGTAGTTGGATGTACCTGCACCAAAACTTCAGTATTTTTCGTTCATTGCTTGTTCTCCATCTTCTTCTTAATATCTCCTGAGTGGCGCAGTGGTCTAAGGCACTGCATCGCAGCACTAACTGTGCCACTAGAGATCCTGGTTCGAATCCAGGCTCTGTCGCAGCCGGCCGCGACCGGGAGACTCATGGGCGGCGCACAATTGGCCCAGCGTCGTCCAGGGTAGGGGAGGGAATGGCCGGCAGGGATGTAGCTCAGTTGATAGAGCATGGCGTTTGCAACGCCAGGGTTGTGGGTTCGATTCCCACGGGGGGCCAGTATAAAAAATAAAATAAAAAAATTAAAACAATTATTCACTAACTGTAAGTCGCTCTGGATAAGAGCGTCTGCTAAATGACTAAAAATGTAATATAGGGAGGCAATTCGTTTTGCCAAAAAATTATTTTATGAAACATTGATTTGGCCTTACTGCCATTAGCCCATAGAAACGCATTGAATAACAGATAGTCCCCCAAAATTATAAAGGAAGTTTGTTTTGAAGTGTCTGTCCTATATCTGAGAGATAAGAAAGATCAGGAAACTATTTATAAAATACATTTTACACATATTTAACCCTTTTTCTGGGGGGAATAAACTACTTCCATATATAATTCCATTCATATTTTAACTGGTACCGGGCTGCCTTCAGATGACTCCCCAGTAGCTCAGTTGGTAGAGCGTGGCATTTGCAACGCCAGGGTTGTGGGTTCGATTCCCACGGGGGGCCAGTATGAAAATGTATGCACTCACTAAAAAACTGTAAGTCGCTCTGGATAAGAGCGTCTGCTAAATGACGTAAAATGTAAAATGTCTTGAGGCTTGTGGACATCCTAGAGCAAAACAATGTATAGTATACTAGCAGCCCAACACTTACAATAGCCTAACTCAAAATCCAATGAACTGCTTTTACAATATCTACTTCTAAGGCAGTGTTTACACAGGCGCCCAATTCTGATATTTTTTAGACTAATTTGTCTTTTGACCAATTACATCAGATATTTTTCAGAGCTGGTCTGAAGACCAATTCTATAAATCAGAATTGGGCTGCTTGTGTAAACGCAGTCTAAGAGGTCTGAACAATAGGTCCAATTTCTGCTGTGCACACAAGGGAAGGTGTGGGGTTTCAAAAAAATAACACTACATGAACATTCCAAAAAGCAAAAGTAATCTAGAGGTTTTTCAATAGCTTCCATTTTCCTCTAATGGACTGTTCCATTTTAGTTTGATGGATGGATGTGTTTAACATAATCCCTCAAGTCATTTGAGCCAGCCAATCAGACATCCATACTCACCGGTGGTGATATAGTCTGCACTCTTCTTGAAGTGAGTGAGGATGAGGTAGGACAGTATGTAGAGGCAGGTGAAGAGGAGGACACAGATCTTGACAGAGGAAATAAACAAAGACCAAAAGATTAGGCTAATACAGATCTTTGCATATTACCAGGATTGTTTTCTTTGGGAAATATGCAGCTCAGTTCAAATATTGCAGCAGAAGGTACACAGAACAATCATAATCCCAATCTCAGTTTAAAAAGTAATATATCAGGTAAATGTTTAGATAAGATCTTCAGATGAGCACATACAGTAGATCAAGTCACCTAGGAACTTTAATTTAAAATCAGACCATCTCTCGGACAGTTGATTAGCATCGTTATTTACATTTTAGTCATTTAGCAGGTCTACGCTCTTATCCAGAGCGACTTACAGTAAATAGTGAGGGTATACTTTTTCATACTGGTCCCCCGTGGGAATCGAACCCACAACCCTGGCGTTGCAAGCACCAGGCTCTACCAACTGAGCCACACAGGACCATGTTATGTTGGTCATCATCACTAGGAGCTGTACTCATTATGGCTGACATGAATTGCTGTGTAAGCGCTTATCGGAGAAGCTTGACAAGGTTGGGGGATCCTTGGGGTGTGTACAGACATACTTTAGAAATGTACCAAGGTTATTATAGCAAACTAAAACGACAACTAAAAGAAAAAACTATTTGGTAAACTTAAATAAAATAACAAACCTGTTTGAAAAACACTCCAAAACAAACTAAAATCCATCATGAATTATGTTACATTTTAAGTTTATTTATTCTAAATTTAGGGCAAAAATCTAATGGGGTTTTCAAGCTCTCTTTCTAATGGGATTTTCAAGCTTCTGAATCTGGCGGGTCACATGGAGATGACCTTTAAATGATAAAGTCAGACTCAGCGAGATGACGTTTCCACAAGCACCACAGCAGATATTGACATGAGCGCAATGCAATACTTCTCTCACACAGTCACTGTGCATGTGCTACAAGTGGTAGCTACGGGACCAAAACAGCAGAGAAGTTTAGCCTCGTGCTTCAACGCTCCTGGTTGTTGTGGAAATGGACCCACTACTACTGTTTACTTGGTGCATCTATGTCATCCTGCTGAGTCTGCCTTTAAACCTAATCTATGACCTGACCCATCACTTTATGCAATACTGCCCCAACAATGGCAATAAGTGACATCTCCCCCCCAAAAAACGTATACAACACATAAATGGCTCCTAGCCTCCCACGCATAGGCTACTTTCTGTCCCCTAAAACTAAGTAATATAAAAACTAAATAGATGTTTTTTTAATCAAACTTAAACTAAATAAATCTGATAAAAAAATCTTAACTAATAGAAGAAAAACTAAAGAAAATCACAACTATAATAACCTCGGTATGTAGAGACTAAGATGAGGAGTGGCAAAACAAAGGAGGAAGACGAAGGGATCCAGCTGGCAGGTCAGGATAACGGGGGCTAGAGAACAGAGGAGGGTAGATAGAAAGCACAACAACCTGACTCTGACTGGCACAGTTGTGTAACTAGCTATCTAGTCAAGATGTGTGGGTTGGACCCAGGAAGCCTCACTCAGTCTCAATGTTTTGAAGCAAACCTTTTCAGGTCACAACAATCTACGATTTTTCCCCCCTATCACAATGCATTACTATCCACTATAAATGGTGCCGGGTTTTGGAACCAAAATGAATTAATGAAATTCCATAAGTGACATGACCCAGCCTGTATAGTGAGATGGTAACATGCAAGACTAGGCCAAGAGAAACAGACGGATTCTGCAGATTAGATATACCAGTTTAGCCAGATGAAGAGAGCGGGAGAAACGGGGTGAGAGTGAGGGACTGGGATCAGTTTAGGACGGGAAGGAAAAATGTGCAACTAGACAGACCTAAAACCCCTATTTGGGTCAACATACAGCCAGCCTCAATGAATCTAGGGATAGTGTCTTCTGTAAGAGAGCTGACTCCTTGACCAACTGAACATGATTAATCCCATTTAATCGGATACAGTCTAATAGCTATCTGCTGGCCTGGTCGTCTGGGGTAAAAATCTGAGAATTTGCCTCTTGAAACTGAATCAGTGGTCAACTGTTCACAACTACATTCACAGTGCTTCAACTCTAAAATCACAGTATGTGGTGAGAGATGAATAAATGTTTCACCATCGGGGTTGGAGGAAATCCGGAGTTAACTGGAACTATAAAGAGACAACCAAGGACACCCATAAAACACATCAACGTGTAGGCTAGGCCTAGACAAACATCCTCTCCCCAGACCAGAGGAAGAGAGGCGAGTTGATGGTGGCAGGATTCAGGATTTCACCCTGAGGTGAGAACAACAGCAGAGAACAATAGTTGTGAAAGAAAGTCACCTCCTCCTGAGAGAGTGGCAGAAACGTGACAAAATGGCTACCACTGCCTGGCAAAAGACTGTTTCCTGTAGATTGAATAATGCTTACCCAAGCACATCTTGTCCTTGTGAACTGAATAAATGGTACCTTTGACAATCAATTGAAATATGATAGCATTCCAGGCCTCTTATTTAATTGTAGGCCTATCTGTTCAATGCATATGATCAAGTTTCTAGGGCATTATTTCACTGCAGTAGAAGGTTAACTTCTTCTTGTTCTGTTCTTCACTGTAGAATAACATTTAAGGAGAGGAAAATGCTTCTGCACACGCACCCCCCTTATATCAATGCCTAGACACTACATTATTCTGACATACAAAGTACATTTAACAATTGAAGATGAGGACATATGGTACAGTGACAAAAGGGGGTTCCCCCTCCTCCAATCCATGGGTGGGACCGGCTGTGTCCCTGACCCACTTTATAGGATGGTAACAATAAGATTTGGGGAAAACAAGTGGTTATATCACCCATATAGACCCTTGTTAACAACTAGGCCCTAACCACAGTGAAGTTCCTAAAATTGCTGCCATTCCAGGATTGTTTGTCATTGAGGCAGTGAGAATAGATCCCACACTATAGCCTAGATGGGCTGACAGTAAGGCTAGGTTATGTCCCCAACAGTGACAATTTAGCGCTTGGACAATAGATTTCAGCCAACAGGACAGACATCCGAGACTGCCTACAATGTTTTGTTTTCCCAACATGAACTGAATGTAACAAAACTAGGCCTTCTCTACAGGCATGGCTGGTGACACAATCATTCCTATTCACTGTTCCTTCAATAGCGCGTAGGCCAAGTAGCCTATGGTTTTGTAGATTTGTTGAGAAATTCTTACCAATTGTGACGTATAGAGCTAGCCTGGTACTGCTAAATGTCAAATGCATGTCGCAACAAACAATGACACTACAAATGCGCAGCATCAAAATTAGCCAACAAACTGTGAAGGAAATCCTTCAATGTGCGGTGTTGGCAATAAGCCTGCTATATCCCCCAAAGAGAAAGTACCGGTAGGTAGGAGGGGGATCACAAGGGGGAGAAAGACATAGCCAACAGACAGAGAACGGGACAGACCAAGAGACCAGTCAGCCGTTGAAGGTGAAAAACATGTTTTGAGTTCTGCTTCTGTCTGGCAGTGCCAAAACTGGAGAAACAAGGAGCTGGAAGCTGAGCTTCTGTGGAAGGTGGTGGTGGAAAGTTGAGCAAACTTAAAATGCCCTGAATAACTCTAAATTCACTTTCTGAAGCATGGTTCTGAATGCAAGGTGTTCTACTGCTCACTTCCTGCCCTAACATGAACCTGGTTGTTGAGAATAGACAGAGGAGCTGGAGTTGAGTGTATCTAACAGTCAGTGGCTGGCTGCCTGAGCTTGTGTTGGAGGCACTGCCCAGTTGACCAGGCATTTGAGAACAAGGAGCTGGAGTTTCAAGAGGGTTTCAAATAGGTTTAACGGCCAAAGGATGGGCTTTTGTATTGAAGGCGGTGCAGAAAGTTGGCGCAACGTTTTTTTAAATGCTCCCGGAAAAAACCTCTCTGTACAGATGCAGGCAATTGCAGACAAAAAGAAAAGCTGTCGCTACCTCGCTTTCAAACCAGCTTTCACACCAACACATTGAGGAGTTTGTGCAATGCTAGGTTTACAAGTGGAACAAGAGGATAGATCTAATTGATGTGCAACAGCCAAAAACAACCAACAAATGGTATGGAACAGGAAAGGCCTGCATGTCCTTAATATTTCAAATTACCGAGAGGAAGTTGAATAACACATCAATACTGATGCCTGACAGAACACCTTCTGGTCTCTGTTCACTGATACACTTTGGAAGGATGACGCCACAAGATTACTGAAACTTTAACTACCAAGTCATCTTCAATGTAGCAAGATGAGAGGGGCTTGTATCAGGATCAATGATGATAAGCTAAGGCTAAAGCCCCTTTAATGACCAGAGGTCAAATGATTACACTGTGTGTGAGTGAGAGAACAAACAGCGGAGAAATAAGATTAGGACTGTATGTTAGCTAAAGGGTTAAGCAGAGGCTGGGGTACTTGAGAAGCATTAGGCCTAGGTGAAAGAGACAATGTCAGGATACGCTTTGGGCACTGAAGCATCTTTTTAGTATTAAGCCTATTGGGCGATTCCACACCAGCATACCCCAAAAGTATTTTTGGCATCTCAGAATGTTCTGGCAATTCTCACATATTAAACTTCTTTGGTGGGGGGATGTTTGACATGCTTTTTACATTTGTATCAAACATATATATTTTTTTATCATGGTTAAAGTGGCAATTTTAAGGACCCGTAAGAGCATATGATCCGTGAACCATACATGATACACACAACATCTTGGTATAATTATACTCCTTATAGTGTGCTGTAACATATGGAGTATGTCTAGATTCTGAAATACAATTTCACATCATGAGGGTCTTGGTGTTTGGCAATGTTGTCATTTCTGACTCACAGAATAGGCCTACAGCATGCAATGTAGACTAAAACCGTAAAACATAAGATTAGATGTGGTCTGAAAAGTACAGTGCTGTTATCTATTTGGCTCATGGAACAAGGCGTGCTCTGCTGTAGCTATGTCTACATGAGACCTGCTGTGTTTTGCGGGGTTAAGGGTCATCTCCATGTGCCCTGTTGTAGCAATACTAATCAGGTCTGAAGTTCAGCAGGAGCTGTTCAGTACAATCAGTACAGTGTTGTATTCTGTAAGGACAAAATGTTTTAAAACTGAGTGAAACAGAGGACCACCTAAACTTGTCCAAATAGAATGCCCATATACATTTAATGTTGCGAAACTTTTTGCTACAGTGTGCTACAGTGTGCCCTACTGAACACAACCCATGGTAACATCCCACACAGAAGTCAATGTGGTGGAATCAGGTGGCAACATTTTCATTTACGTCATTTAGCAGACGCTCTTATCCAGAGCGACTTACAAATTGGTGCATTCACCTTATGATAGCCAGTAAAATCATTACATATAGCCATGAATTAAAGTACATGTTTTATATACTGAATGGAATCTATACAACTATAAGTCATGTATGGCTCTCATTAAACACATCCATGATAGCCTACATCCAAAGGCTTTATGAGAAGAAACATAGGGCCATACATTAAAGCACATGGCCCCTTTGTGGGGGCCCTTGGGACAGACCATGAATGCATGCATGGGGGCCCTAGGTGCAAGAAAAGGCTCCTTTGGTCACCCTTCTGTGTCTCTGCCACATTAATGACCAGCTACACACATACATACATGGTCCTCTGTAGCTCAGCTGGTAGAGCACGGCGCTTGTAACGCCAAGGTAGTGGGTTCGATCCCCGGGACCACCCATACACAAAAATGTATGCACGCATGACTGTAAGTCGCTTTGGATAAAAGCGTCTGCTAAATGGCATATTATTATTATTATTACACACACACACACACACACACACACACTACCAGCTGTAAAGAGAGAGTCCCTTGTAATAAGATATAGGCTACAGTTCTTTGAATGGGGGTTGTCATTTACAGTTAACTGCATCACAGAACTTCCGTAGAGGAAGAAACGTTAGCATCACCATTAGCATGCCAGTTACTACTGCATGCAAACTTTTCTACATTTTACATTTTAGTCATTTAGCAGACGCGCTTATTCAGAGCGACTAACATACATTTTTCATAAATGATTCTAAACACAATACAGCCACTTCAGCAAGGCACCACGGATGAATATCTCGCTGAAATGATTTGCTATGTACATTGAGGTTTATAAACAAAGAGCATTAGCGTACTTACAAAAGTCTCTCGCACTTTGTTGTGGAAAAGTTGCTCTCTAACCGACACGTCGTCTACTTCCATCCTACGAAACCATAACGCAGGGGTTAAAATTTGATGAAACGTGGCTAAAAGCGCTGGGACGGGATGGTAGTATAGTAAAACAACAAAGCATCTCTCTCCGGTTAGAACATTGAGGCAAGCGAACTACATTTGTCCAAAACTTCTCAAACTAACGACAATGGTACGGTCGCGCACCAGGTTTCGTTTAAACTCCACTAGCAAGCGATTGTCCTCAGTGCGCTTTAAACAAGGGGGTGGAGACGATCCAGGAGGAGTGGTGGTGGTTAGATGTATTGCCACCTGGGCTGCGTTCAGTGCGTTTTTACGTTCTGACACGTTCTTTTGAACGGAAACCGTGCTGTACTGAACGACCCAGGGGAGAACGACTGCCCCAGTTTATTGTGGATTTCAAATTGAAGGTATTGTTTCCAGAAAACAGGATCTTTGTGGTCAATATTCGTGGATATATACTTTTTTATTTCTAACACAATCATGGTACCTATAATTGCTTCTATTTCACCAGATGTATGTCCTTGAACCGATTACTTTAAAATCACACACAGACGAAGTTATAAGGATAACTGTGTTGCTAATGGCAGCCTGCAGTACCCCGGTCGGCCTTCAATTTGAGATACTCCATGAGAGGGGGCAGCACTGAGCTAGCCTGCAATGTCACTTCCTAGAGTGGCTCAAACTGCGCATGGAATGTTTCCAAAAACTCCTCCATGTGGGAAGATGGCAACACGCTGAAATAACACTTCCCCTTCCTTTGACAATAAACAAAAAGAACAGACAACTTAACATTTACATACATACACCAAAAACACCAATGACGTCACCCTGGCTCAGACCCACAAAATAAAAAAATAAAAATAAATAATTGACACTTCCAGATCATCAAATGTGGCACTGATTATTCTCATAGGAAACAATGGGGTGAATTCATCAATGGCTTCATCCTTATTTTTACAGTCTATGGAATGACCAGTTGAAAAGCGGGGTGGGGTTGGGTTGAGTTGGGTTGGTTTGTAGCCAGGTTAGGGAACGCTGTCAGCATGACCACTGCCCTGTAGCCATTTCCTGCAGTCAAATGACCCAGTGCGCTCATGGGTGGAATGTTATTAATATTTTTCATAATTTCGTAATTAATCAACATGATTTTTTTTTACCCATTCAGTCTTCTGTGATGTATATAAAGTGTAATATTGGGATGCAAACTCAAAATGGAATACATTTCAACTCTATGTCTGACATGGTACAGGGGTCTTCTTTTTTTAAGACTACCAAGAAACACTGTATGATTTATCCCACTGCAGTAAAAGGTTATTAAATATGTCAATCATTGCTTCAAGACACACCCACCAAATGGGAGCAAATGAACCTCAAAGTATCAAGAACCTACAAGAACGTTTTGGAGAAATGTGTTGTTCATTACAAACCGTTCCGCAACGTAGCAATCGTTCAAGAGAACTGAATGCATCTCTGTTTCAAGATTCGAATTTACAGTTACATTTGTGACAAGTACAGTCGTGGACTAGCGACTCCTTGTGGGGGTAAAGTATATAGATATGGTATTGATTGGTTAAATATTTCCCGAGGGTATATTGTGATTGGCAAATAAAATGTCGCTGTGAGCTGATTGGTCCAAGCAATGCTTCATGCTAATTGGACAGTGTGGTCAAAAGACCAATTAGTGGAAACAAATATCAGAATTGGCCTGCCTGTGTAATTGCAGCCATAGTTACATAGTGTTTTATATTTATTTCCTTCAATGAAAACGTGTATGTATTTCCCTGAATGCTGTGTATGTTGTTGAATGTCATCGTCTTTGCGTAATACTTTCAGCCTGTGACTGAGTTAACCTTCTTTCATATAAATAATCCTAATTTTGCTTATGAATTGCAGGCTCTCATCTTCAATGAAAACTGTTTTTCTTCTATAGTCCAAACATTGATCCACTGAGGTCATATCAGTTCTATCATCATGGCCAAAAGAGTGACTGTCTTATGGGCCATGGGTGGACCGTTGGGCCTTCATCATACCCTGCTCTGGATGCTCACCCTCGGTGGCTTTGGAGTGGGTGTGGACCAGAGAGTACTTCCGTATCCCTGCATACATGGGAGAAGCCAACCGGGAGACAGAAGGAGGGATAACAGGCAGGAAAAGACACCCATGACCAGATCTCTACCTGTGAACGTTGCCAGATTTGCTGGTCAGATTTCCATAGGGATCTATTTCGGAATGGTGGCACTGATCGGCCTGGCCACATTCAGTTTCTTCTACTTGATTGTGTTGCCGCTGGGTGTGGGTGCCTGGGTCCATCTGGTCTCCAGTGTGGGAGAGCAGACAACTGACCGACACAAGACCCTAATAGCTTGTGTCATCACCTCCCCTATTTTCTATGGCAGCACCATCTCTCCTCTACCCATCAGTATCGCTGCCAGCGTCACAGCATCGCAGGTTCTGTCAGGAGTGCTGTATGTGGAAGGTGCAGGAATCAGGCGCAGGACACAGAAGCTTCGTTCAACAGTCTTTAGTGAATCAATACGAGCAAAAGTGCCCGGAGACGAGCGATACGCACACAGGCGTAAACGAACAGGAAAAATACTAACGCGCACAACAAGTGCGAAAACCTCTCCTAAAACACAAGGAGGGAAAACCAATACAGACACGGAGACAGGAAGCTCAATAACACACAACACATGACTAACAAAACGAGAACTTATAGGACACATAATCAACGCTAACTAACCACAGGTGTACAACAATCAGACAAAAGCAAACGAACATAGAAACATACAACGGTGGTAGCTAGTACTCCGGGGACGACGACCGCCGAAACCTGCCCGAGCAAGGAGGAGGAGCAGCCTCGGCAGATTCTGTGACAGTACCCCCCCCTTGACGCGCGGCTCCAGCCGTGCGCCGACCCCGGCCTCGGGGACGACCAGGAGGACGCGGTGCAGGGCGCGTAGGGTGACTACGGTGGAACTCAGTCAGGAGAGACGGGTCTAGGATGTCCCTCCTCGGCACACAGCACCGCTCCTCCGGGCCGTACCCCTCCCACTCCACAAGATATTGGAGACCCCCCATCCGACGTCTCGAATCCAAGATGGACCGAACTGTGTACGCCGGAGCCCCCTCGATGTCCAATGGGGGCGGAGGAGTCTCTGCTATCTCACCTTCCTGGAGTGGACCAGCTACCACCGGCCTGAGAAGAGACACATGGAACGAGGGGTTAATATTCTTATACTCAATAGGTAGTAGTAACCTGTAACACACCTCGTTCAATCTCCTCAGGACTTTAAAGGGCCCTACAAACCGCCGACCCAGCTTCCGGCAGGGCAGGCGGAGGGGTAGGTTTCTGGTCGAGAGCCAGACTCGATCTCCAGGTGCGTACACCGGCCCCTCACTGCGGTGGAGATCGGCGCTCGCTTTTTGTCGACGGATGGCCCGCTGCAGATGGACGTGTGCAGCGTTCATCGTCTCCTCCGAGCGCCCTACCCACTCATCCACCGCAGGGGCCTCGATCTGGCTCTGATGCCACGGTGCCAGAACCGGCTGGTAACCTAACACACATTGGAAAGGGGTTAGGTTGGTGGAGGAGTGGCGAAGAGAATTCTGGGCCATCTCTGCCCAGGGAATATACCTCGCCCACTCCTCCGGCCGGCCCTGGCAATACGACCTCAGAAACCTACCCACATCCTGGTTCACACGTTCTACCTGCCCATTACTCTCCGGGTGGTACCCCGAGGTAAGGCTCACCGAGACCCCCAGGCGCTCCATGAACGCTCTCCAGACTCGGGAGGTGAACTGGGGACCTCGATCAGACACTATATCCTCGGGTACCCCGTAATGCCGGAAGACGTGGGTGAATAGTGCCTCAGCGGTCTGCAAGGCAGTGGGAAGACCTGGCATTGGGAGAAGACGACAGGCTTTAGAGAACCGATTTCACAACGACCAGTACGGTGGTATTCCCCTGAGAGGGGGGAAGGTCTGTAACAAAGTCCACCGAGAGGTGAGACCAGGGTCGTTGTGGAACGGGCAGGGGTTGTAACTTACCCCTGGGCAGATGTCTGGGCGCCTTACACTGGGCGCACACCGAACAGGAGGAGACATAAACCCTCACATCCCTGGCTAACGTTGGCCACCAGTACTTAGCGCTAAGGCAATGTACAGTCCGGCCAATACCTGGATGTCCAGAGGAGGGTGACGTGTGAGCCCAATAAATAAGTCGATCCCGAACCTCGAGCGGAACGTACGTCCGACCCACCGGACACTGTGGAGGGCTAGGGTCGGTACGCAACGCCCGCTCGATTTCAGCATCGACCTCCCACACTACCGGTGCCACTAGACAAGACTCCGGCAGTATGGAAGTGGGCTCAACGGACCTATCCTCTGTGTCATACCGCCGGGACAGGGCGTCTGCCTTACCGTTCTGGGACCCAGGGATGTACGTGATTTTAAATACAAACCGGGTTAGAAACATGTTCCACCGAGCCTGGCGAGGGTTCAGTCTCCTAGCTGCCCGAATGTACTCCAGGTTACAGTGGTCAGTCAAAATGAGAAAAGGGTGTTGAGCCCCCTCAAGCCAATGTCTCCACACCTTTAGGGCTTGAACCACGGCTAACAGCTCCCTGTCTCCTACGTCATAATTACGCTCCGCCGGGCTGAGCTTTTTAGAGTAGAAAGCACAGGGGCGGAGTTTAGGTGGCGTGCCGGACCGTTGTGATAGCACGGCCCCTATACCGGCCTCAGACGCGTCCACCTCTACCTGAAATGGTAAGGCGGGATCCGGATGCGCAAGCACTGGAGCCGAGGTAAACAGGGCCTTCAGTCTCCCAAATGCCTTGTCCGCCTCCGCTGACCACTGCAATCGCACCGGACCCCCCTTCAGAAGAGACGTTATGGGAGCTGCCACCTGTCCAAAACCCCGGATAAACCTCCGGTAGTAATTCGCAAAACCCAAGAACTGCTGCACCTCTTTCACGGTGGTTGGGGTTTGCCAATTACGCACGGCTGACACCCGGTCAACCTCCATCTTCACCCCTGACGCGGATAACTGATAACCCAGAAAGGAGACCGACTCCTGGAAAAACAGACATTTCTCTGCCTTGACATACAGGTCGTGCTCCAACAGCCTACCCAACACACGACGCACCAGGGCTACATGCTTGTCTCGGGTAGGCGAGTAAACCAGGATGTCATCTATGTACACGACCACACCCTGCCCCTGCATGTCCCTGAAAATCTCATCCACGAAGGATTGGAAGACTGAAGGAGCATTCATCAACCCATATGGCATGACAAGATACTCGTAATGACCCGAGGTGGTACTAAATGCCGTTTTCCATTCATCGCCCTCCCTAATGCGCACCAAGTTATATGCGCTCCTGAGATCCAGTTTCGTGAAGAAACGGGCTCTGTGCAAAGACTCAGTCATAGTCGCAATCAGAGGGAGTGGATAACTGTACTTCACAGTGATCTGATTGAGACTACGGTAATCTATGCACGGGCGCAACCCTCCATCCTTTTTCTTCACAAAAAAGAAGCTCGAGGACGCAGGAGAAGTGGAGGGCCGTATGTATCCTTGTCTTAGAGATTCAGCTATGTAAGTTTCCATAGCCCTCTTCTCCTCTTGGGACAGAGGATACACATGGCTCCGCGGAAGCGCTGCTCCTGCCTGGAGGTCTATCGCACAATCCCCCTGTCTATGAGGAGGCAAACGCGTCGCCCTCGATTTACTAAACACAAGTGCCAAATCCTCATACTCAGTGGGAATGCGCAGTGAGGACACCTGGTTTGGACTCTCCACCGAGGTCGCCCCCACGGAAACACCCAAACATCTCCTCTCACACTGGGCAGACCACTCCTTAAGAGCCCTCTCTTGCCACGAAATAGAAGGATCATGGGTACTCAACCAGGGAATTCCCAGCACCACCGGATACGCAGGAGAGTCTATAAGATTTAGCTGGATAGTCTCCTCATGACCCCCCTGCGTACACATCCTAAGTGGCGCTGTGACTTCCCTGATCAACCCCGATCCCAACGGACGGCTATCTAGGGCATGAACAGGAAATGGGATGTCTACAGGAAGTAGGGGAATCCCTAATTCTAAACAAAATTTACGATCAACAAAATTCCCAGCTGCGCCTGAATCTACTAGCGCCTTATGCTGGGAACGAGGTGCAACCTGTGGAAATCGCACAGGTATACAGAAGTGCACAACAGAGAGCTCTGGGTAAGTGGGACACCTACTCACCTGGAAGGACTCCCCAGTGCAGGGCCTGCCGTCCTCTCCCCTAGGAGACCCTCCCCAACACCTGGCCACGGTGTGTCCTCCACGGCCACAGTTGGTGCAGGGGATGGCCCCCCTCGTGCTCCTTCCCCTCTTCTCTCTAGCGCCAGCACCCCCGAGCTCCATAGGGCTCGGCTCGGAGGTGCTGGAGGGTGGAATGGACGAACCCCACTCGGAACGTCCGCGGGTGGCCAGCAGGGTGTCCAGCCGGATGGACATGTCCACCAACTGGTCGAACGTGAGACTGGTATCCCTGCAGGCCAGCTCTCGACGGACGTCCTCCCGAAGACTACAACGATAATGATCAATGAGGGCCCGCTCATTCCACCCTGCGTCAGCCGCTAGAGTCCGGAACTCCAGTGCAAATTCCTGGGCGCTCCTCCTCCCCTGCCGGAGGTAGAATAGACGCTCCCCCGCCGCTTTCCCCTCAGGTGGATGGTCGAACACAGCCCTGAAGCGGCGGGAGAACTCTGCGTATGTGATCGTGGCGGCGTCTATCCTCCTCCATTCGGCGTTGGCCCACTCCAACGCCTTGCCGGTGAGACAGGAGATGAGGGCGGAAACGCTCTCGTGTCCCGAGGGCACCGGGTGTACGGTGGCCAGGTATAGTTCCACCTGCAGGAGGAACCCCTGACACCCGGCAGCGGTACCATCATACGCCCTCGGGAGCGAGAGCCGAATCCCACTGGGTTCCGGAGCTTGGATGGGCGGACTGGCCGATGGTGATGGCAAGGTAGGGGGAGATGTGGGTGCCCCTCTGTTCTCCCATCGGTGCAGAGTGTTTATTACGTACTGAAGGGCGGTCCCGATGCGGTTGATCTGGTCGTTCTGCTCGCGGACGCGCTCCTCCAGGGACTCGGATGCTAGTGCTGCTCCTGCTGATTCCATCGTGGTGTGTTATTCTGTCAGGAGTGCTGTATGTGGAAGGTGCGGGAATCAGGCGCAGGACACAGAAGCTTCGTTCAACAGTCTTTAGCGAATCAATACGAGCAAAAGTGCCCGGAGACGAGCGATACGCACACAGGCATAAACGAACAGGAAAAATACTAACGCGCACAACAAGTGCGAAAACCTCTCCTAAAACACAAGGAGGGAAAACCAATACAGACACGAAGACAGGAAGCTCAATAACACACAACACATGACTAACAAAACGAGAACTTATAGGACACATAATCAACGCTAACTAACCACAGGTGTACAACAATCAGACAAAAGCAAACGAACATAGAAACATACAACGGTGGTAGCTAGTACTCCGGGGACGACGACCGCCGAAACCTGCCCGAGCAAGGAGGAGGAGCAGCCTCGGCAGATTCCGTGACAGGTTCAAACCCCATCCACATCCTGGAAGTCAGAACTGGGTAGGTAGGCCATGACTCATGATTTTACATCTCCAACCTACTATGTTCCATATTACAATATAGGCTACAGTCCATCCAAACCTGCCTATGATGGCCTTTTACAGCAAGGACTATTGATGTTTCTGCCCCCGGGGAAGTTACTAATAGAAGATGTGCAGATACTATTGATGTTACTATCTATAGAGTAGTACAGTATATTGTCCTTCCTATGTTTTCAGTAATAAAAAACACACTTTTCTTCTAGTTGTCTGATGCTGAATCAACAATTTTCACCCTTGTTACTAATGATTGTATTAATACGTGTCTTTCTCTGTTGTCTAGGTACTCGCCTGTACCGTCTGACTGGCCTTCTCGGCTCCACTGTCATACTGTATCTTTCACAACACCACAGCCACTCTCTACTAGCTACCTGTCTGACTGTGTGGCAGCCCTGCTGGACATGTTCTGGTTCTTCCCCTGGCTCCGCTCGGTGGTGGAGTATTTCCTGCTGCTACCCTACAGGTACAACCATGACCACAACTGACTAAAAACAAACAAACATACATACAAACAAACTATGTTTAAGAAGTTGCTGATTTAATCGTGTTAGGAGTTTGTTCTTGTGTATGTGTTTGAGTTTGAATCCAGGAAGGTTAGTCCTGATGTACTAATGGGTATATTTTAAACCTAAACTGAATTAAACTAAAACTAACAGGATCCTGGGTGCCTTCACAGGCTGGGGTCCCTCAGAGGAGAGCTGGAGGAAAGTGTTGGAGATACTGCTCACAGAGAACATCCCGGAGAGGCACTGCAAGTGAGTAACAGTACATCGAAACATTGAGCTATAACAAAGGGGTAGATACCATTGATGTTGCTATAGCATAAGATACTATTGATGTGGCTGCCTTTGGGGCAGTTACAATAGCGTTACAATAGCATACATACATTGTCATATACTGTTGATGCTGCTGGTTGGCTCTATTTACTGTATATCAATGAGCATGCCCTTCTGTGCCCACCCCATACTATGTAAATGTGTTGTGTTTCAGCTGTTATCAGTGAATGAGGCAGCTTTATGGAGGAGATAAGACGTAACTACACGTAACCCTGGCAGCAAGATGGAAGAGTCACAAAATATGTTTATACAGATCCAGGAAGCCTATCAGATTCTGCTCAGATGACAAAAGCCTCTATCGAATTAAGTGATTTCCCTCCTAGACCCTTGTCACCCCTGAACTGACAATGACGTGGCACATAGCTGGTTTCGGTCAGACGATCTACAGTCAGCCCATTATTCAAGTCATGAAATGTACCAAATACATTCAACAGTCCCCTGTAGCTCAGTTGGTAGAGCATAGCGCTTGCAACGCCAGGGTTGTGGGTTCATTTCTCACGGGGGGCCAGTATGAGAATGTATGCACTCACTAACTGTAAGTCGCTCTGGATAAGGGTGTCTGCTAAAATGACTAAAATGTAAAAAGTTAACATACTTTACAGGGACATGTAACATAACTAGTATACTTAATTTGGACATCAGAACAGCTCACAGAACATACAGTGGGGAAAAAAGTATTTAGTCAGCCACCAATTGTGCAAGTTCTCCCACTTAAAAAGATGAGAGAGGCCTGTAATGTTCATCATAGGTACATGTCAACTATGACAGACAAATTGAGAAAAAATATTCCAGAAAATCACATTGTAGGATTTTTTATGAATTTATTTGCAAATTATGGTGGAAAATAAGTATTTGGTCAATAACAAACAAGCAAGATTTCTGGCTCTCATAGACCTGTAACTTCTTCTTTAATAGGCTCCTCTGTCCTCCACTCGTTACCTGTATTAATGGCACCTGTTTGAACTTGTTATCAGTATAAAAGACACCTGTCCACAACCTCAAACAGTCACACTCCAAACTCCACTATGGCCAAGACCAAAGAGCTGTCAAAGGACACCAGAAACAAAATTGTAGACCTGCACCAGGCTGGGAAGACTGAATCTGCAATAGGTAAGCAGCTTGGTTTGAAGAAATCAACTGTGGGAGCAATTATTAGGAAATGGAAGACATACAAGACCACTGATAATCTCCCTCGATCTGGGGCTCCACACAAGATCTCACCCCGTGGGGTCAAAATGATCACAAGAACGGTGAGCAAAAATTCCAGAACCACAAGGGGGGACCTAGTGAATGACCTGCAGAGAGCTGGGACCAAAGTAACAAAGCCTACCATCAGTAACACACTACGCCGCCAGGGACTCAAATCCTGCAGTGCCAGACGTGTCCCCCTGCTTAAGCCAGTACATGTCCAGGCCCGTCTGAAGTTTGCTAGAGTGCATTTGGATGATCCAGAAGAGGATTGGGAGAATGTCATATGGTCAGATGAAACCAAAATATAACTTTTTGGTAAAAACTCAACTCGTCGTGTTTGGAGGACAAAGAATGCTGAGTTGCATCCAAAGAACACCATATCTACTGTGAAGCATGGGGGTGGAAACATCATGCTTTGGGGCTGTTTTTCTGCAAAGGGACCAGGACGACTGATCCGTGTAAAGGAAAGAATGAATGGGGCCATGTATCGTGAGATTTTGAGTGAAAACTTCCTTCCATCAGCAAGGGCATTGAAGATGAAACGTGGCTGGGTCTTTCAGCATGACAATGATCCCAAACACACCGCCCGGGCAACGAAGGAGTGGCTTCGTAAGAAGCATTTCAAGGTCCTGGATTGGCCTAGCCAGTCTCCAGATCTCAACCCCATAGAAAATCTTTGGAGGGAGTTGAAAGTCCGTGTTGCCCAGTGACAGCCCCAAAACATCACTGCTCTAAAGGAGATCTGCATGGAGGAATGGGCCAAAATACCAGCAACAGTGTGTGAAAACCTTGTGAAGACTTACAGAAAACGTTTGACCTGTGTCATTGCCAACAAAGGGTATATAACAAAGTATTGAGAAACTTTTGTTATTGACCAAATACTTATTTTCCACCATAATTTGCAAATAAATTCATTAAAAATCCTACAATGTGATTTTCTGGATTTTTCTTTCTTAATTTGTCTGTCATAGTTGACGTGTACCTATGATGAAAATTACAGGCCTCTCTCATCTTTTTAAGTGGGAGAACTTGCACAATTGGTGGCTGACTAAATACTTTTTTTCCCCACTGTACATTTTGTAGGGGGTAGTCTCAAATCAAATCAAATGTTATTTTATTTGTCACGTGCCGAATACAACAGGTGTAGACCTTACAGTGAAATGCTTACTTACAAGCCCTTAACAAACAATGCAGTTTTTAAGAAACATAAGTGTTGAGTAAAAAATAGAAAAAATAATTAAAGAGCAGCAGTAAAATAACATTAGAGTGGGTACCGGTACAGAGTCAATGTGCATGGCACAGGTTAGTCGAGGTAATTGAGGTAAAATGTACATGTAAGTAGAGTTAAAGTGACTATGCATAGATAATAAACAGAGAGTAGCAGCAGCGTAAAAGAGGGAGTGGGAATGCAAATAGTCCGGGTAGCCATTTGATTAGCTGTTCAGGAGTCTTATGGCTTGGGGGTAGAAGCTGTTAAGAAGCCGTTTGGACCTAGACTTGGCGCGCCAGTACCGCTTACCGTGCGGTAGCAGAGAGAACAGTCTTTGACAATTTTTGCAGTGTTTGCTGCCATCTTCTGGTAGAACACCTATGGATTCGGAATGCTTTACTCTTCACAGTAGAAACTATTATGTACATTCACACAATTAATTACTCCTCATTAAATTATGTTGTCAATTACCTGTCTCCTTTTTATCATCAATCATCCTAATGATTGCAGTAGTAGTAACCTAGAGTGCTGCATTAACAACCACATCATACATGGTTGATACACAAATATTTAGGCTACTTTTTGGTGCCTGAATAAATCAGCTGTTTTTTTTCACATTATTATGCATCTATGTTTTCGGCAATCACTGGCTGATGATCAGGTTATCTGTTGTATATTCGGCATGTATCCCGGTCGTCATTAGTTACCACAGTCACAAAGTTAAACCACGCCCATTTCTACTTCACTTTATTTTTACAGGGACAGTGCACATTAATCAACGTTTCAGTAAAAGTGCCGGCTGATTTTCAACCCCATGTCCCTGGGCAGGTTATTCAAAACAATTACAATAACAATATAAACAAACAATGAGCAGTGAGCACATGCAGAGCAACATATGACAAGCAACACGTAGTATGCAGACAGATAGCAATGGCACAAAAAGCAACAAAACAAAATACATTTAATGCAACAAACAGTATTTACACACCTCACAAGCTACAGACAAAATCTTATTTTAAACCTAATCCAAACCCTAACCACACTACTACCCTTATGCCTAACCCTAACCTTTGATCAAGAACAAAAAGCACATTTTTGTTTTTATGAATTTTTACGATAGTCAATGTTGACTTTGCGGCTGTGGTAACTAGTGGAAAGATTCCCAGCATGCGCCCGGAAGTTGTCTGGATTCCCGGTTTCCACTAGATAACACAGCCACAAAGGCTGCATCGTAAAAATTCATGAAAATAAAAATTTGCTTTTTATTCTTAATTTAAGGCTAGGGTTAGGCATAAGGTTAGCATGTGGTTAAGGTTAGGTTTCAAAACAGATTGTAATAAGATAAATTTGAGAAATAGGCGGGATATATGACTTTATGGCTGTGTTAACTAGTGACGACCGGGATTGCCAGGTAAAATAAGATCCCGGATATGCTGCCGTCGTCAAAGACAACAACAAACAGATATTCTGACATTTAAAAACGACAACAATAGTCTTTCGCCAGGTAAGGAAGATAGTGATGCATTTGCTAACAACGACGGTATGGCATGAAAAGTAACATTTAGGCAAGGATGTGTTTCGTACTAGTTTAGATGTATGGCATTTGTCGGGTGGTGGGTGCCATAGCAACGGCTCAGAAGAAACATTATTCTGCTAGTTTGACGTGTCATTTTCGGATGACAGCTGCATCAATCGGGGAAGTCCACATCTAACGAGACGAATGTCTTCCATGAAGATGATTGGCGCACCGCAGCGGCAGTACAGGCGCCTGTTGCTAATGTACCGCCAACAAACGTTCCCTCTGTCTCGCTCGTAGCTGCGGGAAGTAATAATAATAATAATAATAATAATATGCCATTTAGCAGACGCTTTTATCCAAAGCGACTTACAGTCATAGCGGTGCTGCGGTTAAATTGAAATAATTTTGGCCAAAATTAGCTTATAAAAAATAATTCCCCCCAAAATGATATTACTCTTGTCTGAACAGACATAAATAAAATAATTCAAAATACTACACCAGAGAGCATAACTTATCTACAGAGGATCAATAGCTTTAAAAAAAAAAAAAAAAACCTGTGGATTGAGTTTTATCACAAGCATTTACAGTCAGCAAGGCCGATTCTGAGCAAACAGCACTGTTTTTCAAAGTAGCTTATCTTGGGATATTGGCACAAGCTCATCAGCCATCACAGGTGAGTAGCCTATGCTTCATCTTCATAATTGGGTGAGTCATTGTCACTGAAATGTATTTGAAAGACTACTGTAGCCTATATTATATATATATATACAGTGGGGAGAACAAGTATTTGATACACTGCCGATTTTGCAGGCTTTCCTACTTACAAAGCATGTAGAGGTCTGTAATTTTTATCATAGGTACACTTCAACTGTGAGAGACGGAATCTAAAACAAAAATCCAGAAAGTCACATTGTATGATTTTTAAGTAATTCATTTGCATTTTATTGCATGACATAAGTATTTGATCACCTACCAACCAGTAAGAATTCCGGCTCTCACAGACCTGTTAGTTTTTCTTTAAGAAACCCTCCTGTTCTCCACTCATTACCTGTATTAACTGCACCTGTTTGAACTTGTTACCTGTATAAAAGACACCTGTCCACACACTCAATCAAACAGACTCCAACCTCTCCACAATGGCCAAGACCAGAGAGCTGTGTAAGGACATCAGGGATAAAATTGTAGACCTGCACAAGGCTGGGATGGGCTACAGGTCAATAGGCAAGCAGCTTGGTGAGAAGGCAACAACTGTTGGCGCAATTATTAGAAAATGGAAGAAGTTCAAGATGACGGTCAATCACCCTCGGTCTGGGGCTCCATGCAAGATCTCACCTCGTGGGGCATCAATGATCATGAGGAAGGTGAGGGATCAGCCCAGAACTACACGGCAGGACCTGGTCAATGACCTGAAGAGAGCTGGGACCACAGTCTCAAAGAAAACCATTAGTAACACACTATGCCGTCATGGATTAAAATCCTGCAGCGCACGCAAGGTCCCCGTGCTCAAGCCAGCGCATGTCCAGGCCCGTCTGAAGTTTGCCAATTACCATCTGGATGATCCAGAGGAGGAATGGGAGAAGGTCATGTGGTCTGATGAGACAAAAATAGAGCTTTTTGGTCTAAACTCCACTCGCCGTGTTTGGAGGAAGAAGAAGGATGAGTACAACCCCAACAACACCATCCCAACCGTGAAGCATGGAGGTGGAAACATCATTCTTTGGGGATGCTTTTCTGCAAAGGGGACAGGACGACTGCACCGTATTGAGGGGAGGATGGATGGGGCCATGTATCGTGAGATCTTGGCCAACAACCTCCTTCCCTCAGTAAGACATTGAAGATGGGTCGTGACTGGGTCTTCCAGCATGACAACGACCCGAAACACACAGCCAGGGCAACTAAGGAGTGGCTCCGTAAGAAGCATCTCAAGGTCCTGGAGTGGCCTAGCCAGTCCCCAGACCTGAACCCAATAGAAAATCTTTGGAGGGAGCTGAAAGTCCGTATTGCCCAGCGACAGCCCCGAAACCTGAAGGATCTGGAGAAGGTCTGTATGGAGGAGTGGGCCAAAATCCCTGCTGCAGTGTGTGCAAACCTGGTCAAGACCTACAGGAAACGTATGATCTCTGTAATTGCAAACAAAGGTTTCTGTACCAAATATTAAGTTCTGCTTTTCTGATGTATCAAATACTTATGTCATGCAACAAAATGCAAATTAATTACTTAAAAATCATACAATGTGATGTTCTGGATTTTTGTTTTAGATTCCGTCTCTCACAGTTGAAGTGTACCTATGATAAAAATTACAGACCTCTACATGCTTTGTAAGTAGGAAAACCTGCAAAATCGGCAGTGTATCAAATACTTGTTCTCCCCACTGTGTGTATATATATATATATATATATATATATATATATATATATATATATATATATATATTTCCAAAAGGAAACCCTGATATATACATTTATATATATCAGGGTTTCCTTTTGGAAAATCTGGCGCCTGACACGCAGCCAGTGTATCAATAAAATAGTGATATTGGCCAAATGAGCCATATTTACATGTCCTTAAAAACAGCCTAACAAATTACAAAAACACTATTCCTTGTGTTTCGATGGTTTTTACTTTCCTAAAACAATAATTGTCCACCTCACTGTTCAGCTGTCAGAGATTTGAGCACTAAATGCATCAGGGCATTGCATGCATAGGCCTATAGGCTGTATAATATTAATATATACAAAAATATAAAGAGAAGCTTAGGCCTACCCCCAGAGAGAGAGAGAGAGAGATGCCGGCAGCATGCTACGACACCAACATGCATTTCTTTATCCTTGTCAGATAGGCTACTGCGTCTGCTATACAGATATAGGCGTACAGAAGGAGGCTATTTCGTACTTTTTTTTATCCAAATATTTTTTAGAAAGATAAGCATTTGATTATAGGAGTAACTGGTAGGCCTAAAACATTCTTCCTCACCTTAAGTTCAACTGTCAGAGTCAGTTGGAGTGCCGGTGCACACTTTCTTCATATCATAGGTCTGCATTCTAGGCTAATAGCCACACCACACCAACCCGTCACAAAAGTTTCTAAACTTTATTAGGGTAATATCAAAAGTAAGTTAAGACATTATTTATAGGGAAAATACAAGCAGGATATTACTGTATAACGGCAAACACAACATTACAGTTGGAACCTAATTTGGCCAAAGAAAATGGCTCAACAGAATGAAACAAAACACTTGCGAACTGGTTTAAACCTTCACAAAAGTTTTGAACAGGCTAGATTGCAGCAATTACCAAGAAAGGCTAGTGCCTACTGTAACCCAACAAATGACATCAAATGGCTAATTATATTTATTTTACAAAAGGCCTACTAATGGCCTATCTTAAACTAAATACGGAGCACACAATTAAAAATACATATTTAACTTAATTTAGCCAATTAAAATGTCTCAACCGTTTTGCATATTTAAATAACTGGTTTAGATGAATAAATAGGCCTAGAATAATAACAATGATATACAATAATAATAATGATTAAACAAATGATTATAAATAATAAAGAAAAAAATAAAGTTCAGAAATTGCATCCTACTTGTGTTTGGCCATTTATGTGGTATGAAAACATATTCTGCTAATGTCTTCTATCATGTAAATGACATAGAATAGCATGAAATGCATTTATAAAAGGCCTGTGGAAATCCTAAAAACGTGTCTGCTCAACTATATCTCACTACGCAAATGTGATTATAGAATCTGTCCCCAACTCCCCCCGAAACAAGAAACATCTTCCTGCGGCTATGCCCCTGCTGTCTACTGCTCCAATGTCTTCTTTTGCTAATGGATGATTGGTTTTATGATGGCCCCATCAGGCTGACTCAGTAACCAAAATGTTACATTTGTTTCTGATTAGAATATCCATGCAATATTTAAAATATGTGAAACTGATGAAATGTTATAATTGATATACCTATCATGATGATAAACCAGAGAAATGTGATCAAACATATACCCCACATTTCCTGGGTATGGGTATGTGGAGGAGGGAGGACAGTTCAAGCAGTGACTGACTATAAATGTTGATTTTCTCATATGTGTATTTCCTGGCAACTGAGGATAGGTGAATCTAGATAGACTAGAGCAAAGTACCAGTTAGACGCACAATACAAACACTTGTGTGAAACAATTTAATACTGCATTTACTGCAGCTTTACCTTGGGCTTCAGACATATTTGAACCAAAAGAAAGCTACTGCAAAGGAAACATTTAACATGGTGAGCATCATACAATTGTATCCAAAATGGCATACGTTTTTTTTTTTTTATGAGAAGTGGGCATACTTAAGATAAGGTGAAGATTATTGTATGCTAGGATATCTCATGAGTTGGACCATATCTTTGCTCTGACTTGTCTGTTTTTGTCTCTGTGCCACAGGCAGCTGGTGAGAGAATGAATGCTGATGACTGCAATGGACATTCATATATGTCAGGTAAGCAGGAAACAAAAAGTATTTTAAAGGCTGGATAGATTAGATTAGGTTAGAGAGTTTAATAGTCACATGTAGATGTAATTACAGGGTACAGTTAAATTATTGAGCTCTGAGCTACAACAATGCAGGACAAAGTGAAATAAAACAATACAAATATAATAAAAATAGATAATAATAAAAATAAAAATATATACATATTAACAACTGTGGCAATGATGGGGTCAGGGGGAGCAGGTAGCTGACTAGTGGTGGCTATTCAGCAGCCTGATGGTCTGGGGGTAGAAGCTATTGGCCAGTCTTAAAGTTTTTTCCATGATGCTTCTGTACTGCCCGCGTCTGAGTGATGGAAGCGGGGAGAACAGGCCATGGCTCGGGTGGCTGGGGTCGCTGATGGTCTTCTTGGCCTTCCTGCGACACCTGGTGTTGTTGATGTCCTGTAGGGCAGGCAGTGTGCATCCAATGGTATCCAGTATAATGACATAAAATAGCATAAAAAGTCCCAACATTACATTGTGTACACAGCCAGTGGAGGAGAGACAGCGACGGAGCGTGGTGATTTCTGTGGAGGTCTGAGGGTTCCGACAGTGAGAACACCAAACAGTCAACAGCCCTCTCTCAACCGATCTCTCAGTGGTCAGTCATCTTTTTATGTCTCTTATCTGTGATCTACAGTATATAACCTATTGAATGTACTGTATAATATATCACATGTGACTGAAAGTTATAAAGAACACCAGCAGTTACAGTGGGGGAAAAAAGTATTTAGTCAGCCACCAATTGTGCAAGTTCTCCCACTTAAAAAGATGAGAGAGGCCTGTAATTTTCATCATAGGTACACGTCAACTATGACAGACAAATTGAGGAAAAAAAATCCAGAAAATCACATTGTAGGATTTCTAATGAATTTATTTGCAAATTATGGTGGAAAATAAGTATTTGGTCACCTACAAACAAGCAAGATTTCTGGCTCTCACAGACCTGTAACTTCTTCTTTAAGAGGCTCCTCTGTCCTCCACTCGTTACCTGTATTAATGGCACCTGTTTGAACTTGTTATCAGTATAAAAGACACCTGTCCACAACCTCAAACAGTCACACTCCAAACTCCACTATGGCCAAGACCAAAGAGCTGTCAAAGGACACCAGAAACAAAATTGTAGACCTGCACCAGGCTGGGAAGACTGAATCTGCAATAGGTAAGCAGCTTGGTTTGAAGAAATCAACTGTGGGAGCAATTATTAGGAAATGGAAGACATAAAAGACCACTGATAATCTCCCTCGATCTGGGGCTCCACGCAAGATCTCACCCCGTGGGGTCAAAATGATCACAAGAACGGTGAGCAAAAATCCCAGAACCACACGGGGGGACCTAGTGAATGACCTGCAGAGAGCTGGGACCAAAGTAACAAAGCCTACCATCAGTAACACACTACGCCGCCAGGGACTCAAATCCTGCAGTGCCAGACGTGTCCCCCTGCTTAAGCCAGTACATGTCCAGGCCCGTCTGAAGTTTGCTAGAGTGCATTTGGATGATCCAGAAGAGGATTGGGAGAATGTCATATGGTCAGATGAAACCAAAATATAACTTTTTGGTAAAAACTCAACTCGTCATGTTTGGAGGACAAAGAATGCTGAGTTGCATCCAAAGAACACCATATCTACTGTGAAGTATGGGGGTGGAAACATCATGCTTCGGGGCTGTTTTTCTGCAAAGGGACCAGGACGACTGATCCGTGTAAAGGAAAGAATGAATGGGGCCATGTATCGTGAGATTTTGAGTGAAAGCCTCCTTCCATCAGCAAGGGCATTGAAGATGAAACGTGGCTGGGTCTTTCAGCATGACAATGATCCCAAACACACCGCCCGGGCAACGAAGGAGTGGCTTCGTAAGAAGCATTTCAAGGTCCTGGAGTGGCCTAGCCAGTCTCCAGATCTCAACCCCATGGAAAATCTTTGGAAGGAGTTGAAAGTCTGTGTTGCCCAGCGACAGCCCCAAAACATCACTGCTCTAGAGGAGATCTGCATGGAGGAATGGGCCAAAATACCAGCAACAGTGTGTGAAAACCTTGTGAAGACTTACAGAAAACGTTTGACCTGTGTCATTGCCAACAAAGGGTATATAACAAAGTATTGAGAAACTTTTGTTATTGACCAAATACTTATTTTCCACCATAATTTGCAAATAAAATCTTTTTTTTCTTTTTTCTCATTTTGTCTGTCATAGTTGACGTGTACCTATGATGAAAATTACAGGCCTCTCTCATCTTTTTAAGTGGGAGAACTTGCACAATTGGTGGCTGACTAAATACTTTTTTCCCCCACTGTATCTCACTTGAGGAATTCTTTCCATATGATACATTTTGGTATTTCAATTTATATAGATGTACTTAAGTGCAATAAAAAAAAAACATTTCCCATCCCTTTCCCTATACCTTCCCATACGCTAAGTTATGACGATGAAGGTTTTGAACAAAGTGTCTCTCCCCTGTCTCCAATCTGCCCAGTGAACTCTATTAAGGTAGAACTTGACAGTGATGATGAGCCTGTTGGTGCTCAACAGCCAGAGAGGAGAAAAGGAGAGAGAGATGAAGGATGGAGGGATGAGCGAGGGAACACAATAGAAGACGGGAGTGGAGAGCTGGGAGGAAGGGTGGTTCGAGGAAGTGGTTACAGGGAGCTGGCCAGTCCTCAGCCTGCGTCCCCCGGTCCCATCCGACTGCCCAATGGGAAGCTCCAATGTGACGTGTGTGGAATGAACTGTATCGGGCCCAATGTACTGATGGTGCACAAGCGCAGCCACACAGGTGAGGCCAGATAAACAGACAGCAGAGTAGGTTGAAAAATCTCCCTAGAACACAACGGGCAAGTTTCTATTCAGAGTTTCCTGAACTGAAAACTGTATTGACCCCAACCCTGATAGGAGGTCTTTGTGTTCCTCATAAACATGAAGCCTTTTACTTTTCTTTACGCGGTGTCTATATGGTCCATTCATTTTGACTGAATATAGCTCCACTGCTTTGTTCCAAGGTGATAGTAGGATTTTTGGGGGGGGGGTTTGAAAAAAAAAAAGACTGTCCATGTTGTTGTCAGGTGAGCGTCCGTTCCAGTGTACCCAGTGTGGAGCCTCCTTCACCCAGAAGGGGAACATGCTGCGCCACATAAAGCTGCACTCTGGAGAGAAACCCTTTAAATGTCCCTTCTGTAACTACGCCTGCCGCCGCCGGGACGCACTCTCTGGACACATCCGCACACACACTGGTAAGACACAGTAGCCTGCTTTCTAATGTCAAGCCAGGAAACTGGTAAGACCATTTGGGCTCAGTGGGAACAGATGGGGAATAGAGCCGCTACCAGCCTCAGTCCCATTGTGTTGTGTAATTACAATGTACTGTAATAGCGACTCATCTGTTTTCACAGTGTCTTCAATTCAATATTTTTTGGGGGTCCAATTGGATTTAGAACAAGAAAATCATCTATTTCTTGCAAAAAAGTACATTCAGCTCTCTAGAGTGGGGCTCAGAGGAAATAGATAAATACCTATTGTCTTTACAGGAATGTACTTTACCACACGTGCAAAATATGACATTTAAGTATTCAAAACAGGATGTCCTGTTGGTGTTTTTCAATTTAATGAAGACATGCATTCAACAGGTGTTGATAGAGAGAGGCAGAGCCTGGTGGGTCTGCTTTTCTGAATAAATAAGTTCAGTTTCGAAGAAAAGCAAACTTTCAAACCTCAGATTTCGGCGAAATGACGTGTCTCTGACTGCTCGGTAAAGGTGGAACATTGCGGTGGCGATTTGGGTGTTTTAAAACGTCAAAGGTGTGGAACAGAGAACAATTTCTGGAATTCACGGAGAAGGGGGAGTCCATACCCATATGGAAAATATATATATACATTTAACAAGATTCCTATATGTTCTACCTGGAACATGTCACTAATACATACGGCAGCAAATACACTGAGAATATTCTTGTAATATCTTACTTATATGGGTGGGTAACATTTAGACATAACAAAAATGTTCCATGTATTATATTTAAAAAACATACGAGAGACCATTTTGTCCCATATGGAAAAGATATAGAAGAATCTAACAAGATGATTATGTTCTACTTGGAACTTGGCAACAAATACACATACAACATTAATAGAAGATTGTTGTAATATCTGACTTATATGGGTGGGTAACCTTTAGACAGAAATATAAAACACATACGCCAGACATGTAAGCTAAGGTTTCTAAGGAGGGGGTAAAGGAGGAGGTGGAGGAGGGGGTAAAGGAGGAGGTGGAGGTAGAGAAGGAGCAGGAAGGGGTGGAGGGAGGAGCAGGAAAAGGAGGAGGTGGTGAAGGGGGAGGGAAATATAGGTATAAATAGCAAAATGGATGATATGACTTAAAAAGTAAAGTTATATTTCATTTGCTCTGTTAAACCTACCCTTTGGAATGGCTCTCTCAATAATCATTCTCACGATAGAACATTGGTAATAGTCAGTGACAAATATCAAAGTTAAGCAGGGCTGAGCTTGGTTAAAGCCCTGGATAGGAGACAAAGGCATAGCTGTAGATAAATCAACTGTCCAGTAGGTGGTGCTGCCCAGCCTTAACCATGGAAACTCATACCTGAAAATGAAAATGCACTCTGAGTATACAAAACATTAAGAACACCTGCTCTTTCCATGACATAGACTGACCACGTGAATCCAGGTGAGAGCTATGATCCCTTATTGATGTCACTTGTTAAATCCACTTCAATCAGTGTAGATGAAGGGGAGGAGACAGGTTAAAGAAGGATTTTTAAGCCTTGAGACAATTGAGACGTGGATTGTGTATGTGTGCCATTCAGAGGGTGAATGGGCAAGACAAAATATTTAAGTCCCTTTGAACGGGGTATGGTAGTAGTTGCCAGGCGCACCAGTTTGTGTCAAGAACTGCAATGCTGCTGGGTTTTTCCACGCTCAACAGTTTCCTGTGTGTATCAAGAATGGTCCACCACCCAAAGGACATCCAGCCAACTTCACACAACTGTGGCAAGCATTGGAGTCAACACCTTGTAGAGTCCATGCCCCATTTGAATTGAGGCTGTTCTGTCTCATATACAGTACCAGTCAAAAGTTTGGACAAACCTACTCATTCAAGGGTTTTTCTTTATTTTTACTATTTTCTACATTGTAGAATAATAGTGAAGACATCAAAACTATGAAATGACACATATGGAATCATGTAGTAAGCAAAAAAGTGTTAAACTAATCTAAATATATTTTAGCCACCCTTTGCCTTAATGACAGCTTTGCACACTCTTGGCATTCTCTCAACCAGCTTCACCTGGAATGATATTTGAACAGTCTTGAAAGAGTTCCCACATGCTGAGCACTTGTTGGCTGCTTTTCCTTCACTCTGCGGTCCGACTCATCCCAAACCATCTCAATTGGGTTGAGGTCGGGGGATTGTGGAGGCCAGGTCATCTGTTGCAGCACTCCATCACTCTCCTTCTTGGTAAAATAGCCCTTACACAGCCTGGAGGTGTGTTGGATCATTGTCCTGTTGAAAAACAAATGATAGTCCCACTAAGCCCAAACCAGATGGGATGGCGTATCGCTGCAGAATGCTGTGGTAGCCATGCTGGTTAAGTGTGCCTTGAATTCTAAATAAATCACAGACAGTGTCACCAGCAAAGCACCCCCACACCATAACACCTCCTCCTCCATGCTTTACGGTGGGAACTACACATGCGGAGATCATCCATTCACCCACATCGTGTCTCACAAAGACACAGCGATTGGAACCAAAAATCTCCTATTTGGATTCCAGACCAAAGGACAAATTTCCACTGGTCTAATGTCCATTGCTCATGTTTCTTTGCCCAAGCAAGTCTCTTCTTCTTATTGGTGTCCTTTAGTAGTGGTTTCTTTGCAATTCGACCATGAAGGCGTGATTCACACAGTCTCCTCTGAACAGTTGATGTTGAAATGTGTCTAGGCCTGATCACCGACAACGATGAGACAGCCTATATGGAGGAGGTCAGAGACCTGGCCGTGTGGTGCCAGGATAACAACCTCTCCCTCAACGTGATCAATACAAAGGAGATGATTGTGGACTACAGGAAAAAAAAGAGGACTGAGCACGCCCCCCATTCTCATCGACGGGGCTGTAGTGGAACAGGTTGAGAGCTTCAAGTTCCTTGGTGTCCACATCACCAATGAACTATCATAGGTCCAAACACACCAAGACAGTCGTGAAGAGGGCACGACAAAGCCTCCTGCCATCCAGGACCTCTATACCAGGCGGTGTCAGAGGAAATTGTCAAAGACTCCAGCCACCCTAGTCATAGACTGTTCTCTCTGCTACCACACGGCAAGCGGTACCGGAGCACCAAGTCTAGGTCCAAAAGGCTTCTCAACAGCTTCTACCCCCAAGCCATAAGACTCCTGAACAGCTAATCATTGCCACCCGGACTATTTGCACTGCCCCCCCCCCCTCTTTTACGCTGCTGCTACTCTGTTTATTATTTATGCATAGTCACTTTAACTCTACCCACATGTACATATTACCTCAATTACCTCGACTAGCCGGTGCCCCCGCACATTGACTCTGCACCGGTACCCCCCTGTATATAGCCTCCCTACTGTTATTTTATTTTACTGCTGCTCTTTAGTTATTTGCTTTTCTTTTTTTTACTTAACACTTTTTTTATCTTTAAAAAATGCATTGTTGGTTAAGGGCTTGTAAGTAAGCATTTCACTGTAACCTCTACACCTGTTGTATTTGGCGCATGTGGCAAATAAAATTTGATTTGAAGAGTGTGCAAAGCTGTCATCAAGACAAAGGGTGGCTATTTGAAGAATCTCAAATATAAAATATATTTTGATTTGTTTAACACTTTTTTGGTTACTACATGATTCCATATGTGTTATTTCATAGTTTTGATGTCTCCACTATACTTCTACAATGTAAAGAATAGTAAAAATAAAGAAAAACCCTTGAATGAGTAGGTTTGTCCAAACTTTTGACTGGTAGTGTATGTCATATAATATCCATGTAGGAAAGTGGCCACTTTCATATATATTCTATTGTATTTGTCATACAAGGCCAAACATACACCATTTCCAGATTTACATAGAAGATACATACAAACCATGTATTTGTATCTTACCTGATTCTTACTAGATTTTTGTGCAAATAATCTACTTCTGCCATACAAGATTCTTTTAGGATTTTCATGATTCTTTTCCATATGGGTAGGCTAACGACTAGGTCATGAACTAGTATTAAAGGATGTAATAAAACTTGAATTATGCACAACTACATGTATCTTTTTATTTATTTATTACTTGAAATAACTAACTTCCCTAGGACACAATATCAGTAGTCTGGTCATATTTTGTAGACCTCATTTTACTCAAACAGACCAAAAGAGAAGCATGCGTGACCCATTGATTGACCCATGAATTGCTGTGTTTCTGTGCTGCAGTGTCCTCTCCGACAGTGGGTAAACCTTACATGTGCAGTGACTGTGGTCGTAGCTACAAGCAACAGAGCACCCTGGAGGACCACATTGAACGCTGCCACAACTACCTAAAGAGTCTACAGGACCATCAGCCAGCACTCAGCACTGACCACACTGCAAAGGGTAACATACACACAGACTCTTAATGTAAAATGTACCAGGTAACACACATTGACTCTGTCATCATCCACACAAGCTTGCAGAAATGCACTTTGCTCCTTCATGTTGTATTAGTTCAATCTGAGCTCACTGGCCTAGACACTGTGAACCAGAAGACACAGATCTGTTTTTGCGTTATGATGTCAATGTGTATTTGAACAGAGTCTGTTGTGCTTTGTCCCCAGGCATAGAGCCGGTGCCTGAGCCAGAGGCTGTCCTCCAGCTGTCCACTGAGAAACTGTCCTTTATAGATAGACTGGCTAACAGCATCACCAAACGCAAGAGGTCCACTCCACAGAAGTTTTTGGGTGAGTTTTTTCCTGCCTATATATTTCCATGTTCCTGAAGGTATTGAAACCCAACAGTGCTGTAACATGATGATAGTCTTATGAATCTGAGGTTGTCAACACTGATGTGCACTTTTATTTACAGGAGTAAAGCACATGAGGCTCAACGAGCCTGATATAACTTCTGAACTGTCCCCTAGACCTGAAAAGGATAAGGATGTGGACCTGCACTCTGCACCCAACTCTCACCTTGAGGGAGGGTTAGTGGGGATGGGGGGCAGGTATCTCCGCAGGTGTGGAGGTGATGAGGACCCTGGGTCTGAGCCCCCTCAGCTGGCCCTGCCCCTGCCCTACCCTGCTTGCCAGTCCCTGTCTGACCCCAGCCCAGTCATCAGCTCTGTTTACAGCCACCTGACTCCTCTGGGTCTCCAGGTCAATGGAGCTGTAGGTGGGCATGGAGGTGGGGTAGTGGCCAGGTCTGTGGAGCTCGCTGGGCGGGAAGCAGGCGAGGGACACAAGGACATACCCTCAGGTCACAGCCCCACGGTCAGCAAAGGCTACAACCCCAGCAACGGCCCCAGCAATGGCTGCCATGATTTCAAAGACCAGTCCAACCCGGAGAGCACAGCAGAGGGGCAGCAGAGCGCCGGTGTTACAGCTCCAACCAGCAACTCCAACAACCACCACTTCCTCCCTCACCTACAGTACGTAGCCCCAGCCCCGCCCCGCCGTCCAAACCCAAATCCCAGACACGCCCAAGACCCAGACATAGAGAGGGAGAGAGGGTACACCGTCACCACCATCCCCACCACTGTGAAGGGATCGGGGAGCCCTGGTTCAGGGTCACCACCCATCTCCAGGGAGGCTTCTATACAGGTACAGGTGGTGGACAGGGCGGGGCGAGCGGTGCAGTCATTCCGCTGTGAGCACTGTCGCATGTTCTTCCTGGACCACGTGATGTTCACCATCCACATGGGCTGCCACGGATTCCACCAGCCCTTCCAGTGCAACGTTTGTGGCCACCGCAGCCGGGACTGCTACCAGTTCACCTCGCACATCATCCGCGGGGAGCACCTGGTGGGCTGAGGACGTGAGTGAAGGGAGGAGAGCCGGTCCCAACTGCCCTACCCCTTAGCCCTTCCCCTTCAATGTTTACACAAATCTGAAGGGTCTGGATAGGTATAATCAGTGTACTGGTGGATATTTCACTGTATTGCTTCCACATTACAGATCTACACACATCAAACGGTTAGGGCCAAGGAGAAGGGAGTGGGAGCAAATTGAGACCAGCTGGGGGTGAAGGGGGTGGGTGTGGCGAGGGAGGGGCAGGGGCAGGGGTGTCTGCTTCTTTGAGGTGACATGGGCTGTTTGTTCTGCACCAGATTACACACAGATAGACACCCATTGCCTTAACTGTTACATAGAAGTAACCCTGGATGATCTTGCTGTGACTGAGAGAAGGCATATTGTTTACAACCGTTAATGTAATAACAGAGTACGTGATCATGTGTAAAGGACATTATGATGAGTATGAAATATCCTGCCTTGGTGATGTGGATCCTTCCAGATTTTAACGATGGAGATTAAGAAGAAAGTTAATAGGGGCCTTATAATACTGGTGCAGATCAGACTGTTGACCCATGTCCATTGATGGATAGGGCTTGACTGAGGTGGTCAGGTAGACAAGGCCGCTACCTCTAATGGAGGATTGCACTTCTAGATTATTTGCTTGAATATGATAATAGCGTGATGTGAAAATTACTTTTAGCTTTGGAGGGTATTCTTTTTTTTTCTCCTGAGATTGCACTGATAAATTACAATGTAATGCTTTTTAAAAAGTATGACTTTGTATAAGGAGAATGCTCTTCACACCAGATGAACAGTGTTTTATAAGGTTTTATTAATGAGACGGGCCATCTACAGAACCGGCTACTCTAATTGGTCTGTCCCTCTCCACTTAAAATTGGTGCTGCATTGAACATTGTTAGGGCCTTGTGTTTTGGTTAATCATGTCACATTACCTTTATTTAAAGCATTTTCATCGAACTGTCTAATTCAAATTTCTGGAAAAGGCTTAAAATAAAGGTTAAAATCCAGGTCATGTGACATGATTAACCTTAACACAGGGCCCTAACCATTGTGTGACTAAGATTGTCATCTCCATCCTAATTTACAGAGGTGACTCAAATGTGAAACTTCCACAGAATTGTGTAATTTTGCACTGAATAGTCCAGGAAACCAGGCCTATTTGTCTTGATGGGTAGACTCGTTTCACAAATGGAGACTGGACAGTAAGAAGTACTTAAAATATTTCAGCCTATCAAATACTATTTTTAATGAAGTTTATCACTTTTGTATAGTTATGTGATTATCTGTATGTTGTAGTGCATTTAGCATAGCCTTGGTAGATGTGGTCAGCTTCAGCTATATCCCAAATCTTGTCCAGCCACAGCACAAGCAACCCATTAGTCCAGAAAAGGTTACCTCCTGTGATTTTAAAGCAACCGAAAACCTCTAAATGTATTTGTTTGCCGTCGCAGTGTGGGGACTAGTGAACAATGTTTGACACCAAATTCAGTATTTTTATGTGAAATGTTTAGTGTGTTTGCATCCTCCTGTGAACAGATGAATATCTTAATATCTATTGTACTATGAATGCACTTGATGTACATTGGATCATTCTATGACGTGTGAGTGAGTAAATGTGCTTATCAGATTCTTATTTATCCTTTCCAGTAGCCTAGCGGTTAAGCGCGTTGGGCCAGTAACATCTGCCGATGTGCCCTTGAGCAAGGCACTTAACCCTAATTGCGCTTGTAAGTCACTGGATAAGTCTCTGCTAAATGATTACAATGTAAAAATCATGTGATGACAAATGAATTCTGGATTAACCGTGAAGTAACCTCAAGGATAGTTGTTCCTGTCTTAATTAGGCTTTAATTTAATTGCAATGTTTTAGAAATATTTTGTGAGAAGAAATGTAACAATTTACCTCAAGATAACAGAGACACGAAACTGCCTCATTCTTTGAAATAAGTTACTTTTGGTATCAAGTGCTTTTATGGTGTGCAACCTAACTCTATTCAAGTAACGCATGTCCAATAAAAATAAATGTAGAATGTTCTGATTGGACATTTTGTTTTCATTAACGTGACATTCAATACATAGCAGATATTGATATGGCTCTTCTACCAAGGTGGTATACAAATGTAACACTTCTGATGTACAGTTAAATCACTTTTATTTGTTTACATAAAAATGATAGTGATCCCTAGGATGGTCCATGACATTAACCCATGGGCTTTGGAGGTGGTCTTGGGGCACCACCCTAGAAGAGAGAAAAACAGTATTTAGTCAAATATTCAGAACATGCTTTTGATCTACTTTCACTTTGTCTACCATCTTAACTTCCTGTCCTTAAAGGAGCTTCAGGATTCAGACTAGGTTCATTGAAATAGATTCAGATCATGCATTCAGGTTTGTAATCAATAAGTTTATTTTGCCAATTGACTAGCCAAGGTCAAATTAACTTGACATTCTTAGACTACATGGTTTTGCAATGAAAGCCCACCCAACACGCCCTTCCAGAATCTCTGCAATCGCATCGAACCCAGTACTTACAGTAGTTTTGAGTAAAGGGAGATGCATTATTGAGATCCTTAACTTCACTAGGAGTTAAAAGGCATAGCTAAGTAAAGAGTCCTATAACTTACACTGGGCCTGAAGCGGGGTGGTGGTGTGCGGTCCTTCCTGGCCTCGGTGGAGCGATTCCTCACCACCTTGCTGTGGATGGCACAGCTCACACAGTAGTGGAGCTTCACATACAGCTTGGGAAGCACGTAGGCTGGAAGGGAGACAATAAAGTCAGAGTTAGATCAATAGCACCTCACAGTTAGGCCACAATATTGATACTACAGTTGCCATTAAGCCATTGTAGTCTAGGTCACCGAGTCATTCAATCCAGCCATAACGTGTACAGGGGAAAAAGGCCTTTTTATGCATAAGAGCTCATGATACTTTCACATTTCATCCAGTATAATCTTCCCAAAGCGACAGATGTATATATAAAAAAAGAAAAAAAAGAACGAAGAAATATCTCCAAAAAACCTGACTTCAGAATCTGAAGAGACTGACATTCCACCATCCTTATACTGGATACCTTCAATATTTTTTGATGTGTGTTTGATGACATTCAGCAGCTACTTACCGTCGAACACACTGGCCTCTGTGATGTCCCTCACGGCAGCAGCCTCAACAATGTTCCTGATGACAAACTTCTTGATGGCCTTGTCCTTGGGTACACACCGGGCACAGTTGGTGCAGCGGATGGGCTGGACATGTCCACGGCCCTTCTTGGCACGACCGTTGTTCCTTCTCTTCTTAGTCTGGGGAGAAGATATCAGTTAGATTTAACACTATAAAACCAATGTGACAGCCAGCAAGAAGACTAACTTACTAGACTAGTCTAGTGACCTGGCACACAATCCACAACGTTTCTGAACAGATCAGATAATACAAATTCAACGCAGATGTATTTATATAATCGATTTCCCCTATTCATCTGTGCCGCATTATTCTGATAACGAAAACACCAAGAATGTTTGCGCCTTTGAAACATGACTGCGTTAACTTAGCTAGTTTCCTAGCTAAACTACTATCTAACTAACCGACGTTAAAACCTCTTCTTGCTGTTGATCTAACGTTTACTAGTTATCCAACCAGCTGTGTGGACAAAAAAACGATTATTATTCTGCTCCAATATGCAGTTTGGCGCTGATCGCCTGGTTGACAATTTATAGCAATTCATTTCTATAGACGAACCCCACTGTAAGCTAGCAGCCACACACATAAAGCGCGTGCCTGTTGAGGCGGCTAACTAGCTAACCATTTTTGACGTCATTCCCAGCTAGAAACCCATTTTAAACACTACGTCTGAAAAATGTATTACATATAACTTTTTTTTTTCACATCAACGACCAATCCAGTGGTGTATTTTCGCGTGTTTATTTCATTTCAACAGGCTGGGCCTGTAGAAGAATCAGAGAAGCGCTTACCATCGTGGCATGGAAGGCTGGAAAGAGAACGAGCCGGAAGAGGGAGGAGAATTCATGTCTTCCGTCTGACAGGAGAGCAATGCGCATGTGCAAATCCAATGTCAATTTTGTGTGGACGTCCACTAGATGTCACCATTGACCAATAAATAAGGTAGGGGCATGGATCAGAAAACCAGTCAGTATCTGGTGTGACCGCCATTTGCCTCATGCAGCGAGACATATCTCCTTTGCATAGAGTTGATCAGGCTGTTAGTTGTGGCCTGTGGAATGTTGTCCCACTCCTCTTCAATGGCTGTGCGAAGTTGAATGGTTATTCGCGGGAACTGGAATACGCAGTCGTACACTTTGATCCAGAGCATCCCAAACATGCTCAATGGGTGACATGTCTGGTGAGTATGCAGACTATGGAAGAACTGGGACATTTTCAGCTTCCAGGAATTTTGTACAGATCACCTCATTATCATGAGGTGATGGCGGCCGATGAATGGCACGACAAAGGGCCTCGGGTTCTCGTCACGGTATCTCTGTGCATTCAAATTTACATCGATAAAATGCAATTGTGTTTGTGGTCCGTAGCTTATGCCTGCCCATACCATAACCCCACCGCCACCACGGGGCACTCTGTTCAAAACATTGACATCCGCAAACAGCTTGCCCACACAACGCCAAACACGTGGTCTGCGATTGTGAGGCCGGTTGGACATACTGCCAAATTCTCTAAAACGACGTTGGTAGAGAAATTAACATTCAATTTTCTGGCAACAGCTCTGGCAACATTCCTGCAGTCAGCATGCAAATTGCACGCTCCCCCAAAACTTGAGACATCTGTGGCATTGTATTGTGTGACAAAACTGCACATTTTAGAGTGGCCTGTCAGGTGGATAGATTATCTTGAAAAAGGCTAAAATGCTCACTAACAGGGATGAAATACAAATTTATGCACAAAGTTTGAGATAAATAAGCTTTTTGTGCGTATGGATGATATTAGGAACCATTCTGGCTTGCTTGTGTGCTCATTTCATGTGTTGTGTGTCTAGTGATGTTCTAACTCGTTTTGCATTAAGGCAAAGACACTTCTAGGGACTCTAAATCCCTTTGTCTATATTCTGTCTGCACATTTGTCTTTTGCTGGCAGCGCTAGCAAAGGGGGGGAATAGCGTTTTATAAGGAATCGCATTTACTGATGATGGCATGTATTAAGTCATTGGCTACACTTTTATACTGTTTTTAACACTTTTTTAAATTATTTAAATTAGAGAAAGACTCACACTATACATAAGGCAGGGACTACTTAGGCCTAGGACTAGGCAGGCCATTGCCATCATGACATATCACACTATTACTGGGCTCAATTGGCTGTCATCAATAATATAAAAGCAACTTGACTGTCGTCCTGATAAAGTTGGTGAAAGAAAGAGGACAGATTTGGAGGGTGCAAGCCATAGGTTTCGTCTGAAATTGCACCCTATTCCCTACATATTGCACTACTTTCGACCAGAGCCCTGGTAAAAAGTAGTGCACTAAATAGAGAATAAGGTGCCATTTTATTGTCAGCCAGGCTAAGTCAGGACAATTCTGCCTCTGGAAGCGATTACAGAGTTGGGTGAGCAGAGCAGTGAGAAAAGGCTAGGGCCACCAGAGACAGTGTTTGTGAGTGTGTGTGTGTACACATTCCTTCTGTGTGTGTGTGTATGTGTGTGTATCGGGGAGGGCCCGCTAGCAGCAGTTCTCAGCATGCAGAATGGATAATGTGTGGCTCCTGTGGTAGGCTGTTCCATGTGTCACTGCCGTTAAAAACTCAGTGCCAAAAGAAATGTCTTCTTTACAGGGGCCGGCTGCCAGATGCTGGGAGGGAAAGAACGAATGGCACCAAAGAACTTTGTCTAACTGATGAAAACGTTGCTTGCCATCAAATTCACAACCACTCATAGAACACCACCCCCCGCTACCCTTGCCACCACTTGCCACCTAGGGGAAACTGTAAGGGTTGGTGTGAGGTGTGACCCAGGTGCAGTGCAGGATAGACAGTAGACAGTAGGCAGAGATGGTGAAACAAGGATCTTTACTGGTGGTCCCAAAACCAGGATACAAAATAACGGACTATAACCACAATAAAATAAAGGAGGAGCACATTGGTCTCCAAAAACAGGCTGACAGCAAACATACGAAATACTAACTATGACTGAAAACAACAATGAAACAGGGAGAACACTTCTGAAGTACCTGTACATACGTCTCGCGATCAGACACTGATTAGTACTGTTTAGCATCGAGAAACTAGCAGAGAAAACAGAGCAAGGGAACACAGGTTGTCAGAGGATGACACCTAGTGGATCGCTCCGGAACTGCGACCACCTCCTGAAAAAACAGGGCCGGGAGACGCCTGCGGTTGGCCTGATGTTGAGACCTGACAGAGGCCCGCATAAGCGCCGCCCGTACCTGCCTCCAGGTGCGGTGACAGCGACAGATGTGTGCCTGGACCGACGGGACCACCGCCTCCTCCTCCTCCTCTTGCTCGGGGAATAGGGGGGGTTGGTACCCGTATTGGCACTGGAAGGGGGACAGGCCGGTGGACAAGCAGAGAAGGGTGTTGTGGGCATAATCCGCCCACGCCGGTCACTGACTCCACGTAGCTGGGTTGCTGGAGGTGTAGCACCTCAACACCCCCTCCAGATCCTGGTTGACGCGCTCCGTCTGCCCGTTCGACTGGGGATGGAAGCCGGAAGACAAGCTGATGGAGGCGCTGAGGCAGGCGGAGAACGCCTTCCAGAACCTAGAGGCGAACTTAGGACCCCGATCCAACACCACATCTTGGGGAAGTCCATGGACCCGGAAAACATGCTGCACCACCAACTTAGACGGGAGTTTGAGAAGGGGAATGAAGTGGGCAGCCTTCGAAAACCGGTCCACAACGACCAGGATGACTGTGTATCCATCAGAGGGGGCTAGGGCGGAAATGAAATCCAGCTGATGGCCACCTGAATGTCCTGTGCAGGAACTCCAACATCCTGGCGCCCCCCGGATGGCTGGTGATGTCGGACGCGTGCGCCCACTGAAGCAGTCGCCAGCGCACAGCCTTGGGTACGTACATCCTCCCTGATGGACCTCTGCCCGGATCGGGCTCCCGCCGTAGCGCCGCTCTGACCAGCCTATCGATTCCCCATGAAACTGGGGCAGCAATCAGGGCGTTGGGGACAATGGGGTTGTCCCTCTCCACCAGGTACACAGGGTCGAACTAACGGAAGAGAGCGCGTCAGGCTTGGTGTTCTTCGACCCCGGACGGTATGGGATCGTGAACCGGAACCTGGTGAAGAACAATGCCCACCTGGCCTGGCGCTATTTGAGCCTCTTGGCCCCCTGAATGTAGGCTAAGTTCTTATGGTCAGTCCATACGACGAATGGATGGGCGGTCCCCTCTAGCCAATGCCTCCACTCCCCCAGGTCGAGCTTGACCACTAGCAGCTCACGGTTCCCCACGTCGTAATTCCGCTCCGCCGGGGACAGCCGATGGGAGAAAAACGCGCAGGGGTGAGTCCCCCTCCCGAATCCTCACCAGGTTGTAGGCATTTCGTATGTCCAGCTTGGTGAAGACCCAGGCTCCCTGCAACGACTCGAATGCCATCGTCATCAGGGGTAGTGGGTAACAGTTCTTAACCGTGATGTCGTTGAGCACCTGGTAATCAATGCACGGCCGCTGCCCACCGTCCTTTTTCCCCACAAAGAAGAAGCCCGCGGCTGAGGTAGAGGGACGGATGTGACCCTCGACGAGTGCCTCGTCGATTTACTCTCTCATGGCCAGCCTCTCCGGCCGGGACAAGGAAAGCAATCGCCCTTGTGTGGCCATGGCGCATGGCAGGAGATCGATAGCTCAGTCATATGGCCTGTGAGGAGGTAGGCCCTTGGCACGCCTTTTATTAAACACCTCCCCCAGATCTCAATACTCCCGGGGATTGCCTGCCAGGTCTGGGCTGGTGACGGAGTCTGTAGCCGCCGTCCTCCCAGTGGCAACCACCGCTAGGGCGGTAGCCGGTTCGGAGTGCAGGACCTGGGGAAGAGGTGAGGACTGGTAGGTGGTCTGGGATGGTGGTTTGGGCTGATGAGTGGTCGGTGGAGACCGGAACAGGATGGAGGTGGAGCCTCCAGCAAGGGGTGCCTTAGGACGAAGGGACACTCTGGAGAGTCCAGAATGAAAAACTGGATATCCTCCCATAGCCCCCCTGCCACCCGGACACGCACGGGGACAGTGCGCTGAGTGATGAAGCCCGACCCCAAAGGCCGGCCGTCCAGTCCCATGACCGGAACCGGCACGGAGAGGGAGAGTAACGGAACGCTCCACCCTTGGGCCAGCCCCGCATCTATCAGGTTTCCCGCTGCCCCCGAATCCACCAGTGCATGCGCCCGACGTGCAGTGCGGGCACACTGAACCATGACGGGGAGAAAAGTCTGGGAGTCTCTGGGGATGGGGTTTTGGTTCCGGCTCACTAGCACCCCTCCAGATATTAGCGAGCCCTCCCGTTTCCCATCTTCTCTGGGCATGAGTCGCAGTGGTAACGTATTTGGCCACAGTACAGGCAACGTTCCTGGCACAGACGTCTCTGCTTCTCCATTCTGGACAAGCATGCCTTACGTCATCCCTCTCTCGTTCACCCTCTCACGACACTGATTGTCTACCTGCACCGAGAGGTTGACGAGGCCGTCTAGTCGCTCAGGCAGCTCCCTGAATGAGAGTTCGTCCTTCATCCCCTCTGATAGCCCCTGTGCGTAAAGGACGACCAGGGTGGCCTCCTCCCATCCTGCCTCTCGAGCCCGGGTCCACAGAGTAGTCCGCTACCGCACGGTCACCCTGCCGACAGGCCGTGAGCCACCTCCCGGCCTCGTGCCCTGACATCACCCGAGAGGTGTCGAACACCTTGCGTAGCTCCCGGGTGAATTGGTAGGAGTCGGAGCATGCTGGAATTTGGCTATCCCACTCCGCAGTAGCCCAGGAAAGGGCCCGACCCGTCAACAGACTGATAATGTAGGCCACCTGGCCCTGCTCCATCGGGAAGGAGTAGGGTTGTAGGCTGAATACCAGGGAACACTGGGTG